GGGAGGGGTAGAGACGGAGGGACTAAGTCATATTGCCCCTTTTAGAGGGCTCTTCTCTTGGAGACATCCCCGGATTGGAAAATGTTTCCACAAACGACTTACTGTCCTGGACAACTTCATTCACAGATACCAAAGGTCAACGAAAGAGAAACTCTCCTAAAAACACTGGAAAGGGTCAATTAAAGTGGTTTATGATACTACCCTGTGTAAGGAGCGCTATATAAATGCAAGTTGTAGTTGTTGTTGATTATAAAATCCAACTTTTTTTTGGAGTGACCACGTTTATTTTGTGGGGCTAAAAAAAATTTCTGAGGATTATTATCCCCAGAAAAGCGATCCACCAATCAACTAATAAACATGTTCCTACTTACTGCTGGTAAATAGAGGTGTGTGGAGTAAGGAAACTTGCTCACCGTTTCACCCTGCCAGGAATCAAACCCCGGTCTCTCGCTTGCGAGGCGAGTGCTCTCACTACTAACCTACCGGCATCCTACAGGATGCACAATATTAACTTTTGGTAGATGTTTGCTTTAGGTCAGAAAAGGTAGCACAATCCCATGATATAATTCTTCAAAATAGTAACAACAACAAATTGCATAGCACCTTTCACGTCGGGAGGACATCCCAAAGCGTTGGACAGTCAAGAAAATATCTCCCCAAATTATCACTACACATGTCATTGACAATCACTAGCTGGTTTAAGACTTTTTTTTAATTAATTTGTGGCATAACATGGCACACAACCTCTTAATTGATATGCTCAATTAAAATCCATTACAAAAAAAATTATGCATGAACACTTCAGGCAATTTACAACAATCTAAAAGTTGCTAATTACATCCCACGGAAAATCTGCCCCTGAAGGAGTAATCTTCTGTCTGCTCTACTTCTCGTCAATTTCACAGCTATGATAATATTACAAAGCTAGTACAAGTTGTATGCATAATAATAGCATCAAGCATTCCAAGTTGCTCGATAGCAAAGGTCAAATAAAATGTAGTGTGCAAAACAGTGGAACAGATTAGAGCACAGCTCCACTGATAATAATAAGAATCCTTGCATTTGATATAGCACCTCATCAAATCGTTGAGACGTGTCAAAGCGCTTCACAGAATGTACTGTAAAGTGAATTGATTATTTTATGGGCAAGCCAATTGCACAGTTTTGTGGGCCAAACATCACAAAATAGTCAATTCACTGATGTGTTAGTACAGAACAGCAATAGGCCAAATTGCCTCTTTCCATACCAACATTTCTAGATTTAAAAAAAACTTGCATTTGATGCAGAGACTTATCCTGATGTGACGGGTCACAAAAGCTTCACGGTAGATGTGGAAAGAACGATGACTGTGCATTTTGCAGGTAAACAAGGTAGTTAATTTGTGCATAGCAATGTCCCACAAAAAGCCATAAGATTGATCAACTTTATTTGTGGAATTGTTGGCCAGGACATCGGGAGAAAATCGCTTCTCTTTTTGGAACGTGCTATGGAAAAGGCAGACAGAACCTCAGTTCAAATGTCTCATTCAAACGACAGCATCTCCACAATCCAACACACCCCAAGCATTGCTCTGGAACGTCAGTCCAGAGGTTGAGTTTAAAGAGGTTGAGTTTAAAAGTTCCGATGTGGGACTCAATCCCACAACCTGTTGAGTTGAGAAGTGAGGACTACCAGCCGAGCCAGACTGACGTACTTTGTGACATATGTTGGGGGAGGGATTGTAAAATCAGTGTCCCCGACTCATTTAAATTAAAACCTTTGCCTGCAATCAGTACCGGAAACAAAGCGGTTTCATCATAATCAAGCCTAAACTACATTTGTTTGTCAGGGCAATTTATGTTTGCACTGTACAGTAAAACTCTCCACACTCTCGCCTCCGAGTCAGAAGATGATGATTTCAAGCCCTACACTAGGACTTTGAACTCACAGCTCTGGGCTGATACTTCAATGCAGTGCTGAGAGTGCTCTGTATTGTCACAGGTGCCGTCCTTCAAACGCGAGATCCAACCAAATTCTGTCTGACTGCACAGATAGACGTTAAAGATTTCATGACACGACTTGAAAGAAGGGAGTTTCTCCTGGTTTCCTGATCGGCAATCCCCCAGATAAAATGAGTCATTCACCTCGTGGTTATTTGTGGGACACTGCTGTATGCAAAGTGGTTTCACCTACAAATACACAGTCACTACACTTTGCAATACATCCTGTGAAGCAATTTGAGGTGCACTGACAATATGATAAGGTACTATATCTTATCATTTAGCAAGAGCAATTATTTTATGTAAAAACACAACTAGTTTTTTCACTGGGTGGGGGGAAGAGGGGGGGCAAAGAGGGAAACGTTGTACAAAATACATTGATTTAAGATAGATAGCTAGACATGTACCTCCTCTCCCAAATCACTTGGTGAGAGTGCAATAAAACTAGAAATGCTGGAGATCCAAGGCAAGTAAATCAGCTCCTGACAGAAGATAGATTATCTATTCCAGGGTGACCTTTCATCAGGAAGTGTCATTGAGGACAAGATCAGAGATGCAAGGAGTTAAAATACTGTAGCTGTTACGTGGCTGTCTCTTCGTAAAACAGCAGCCTAGGCAAGCTGATGAGTGAGATGGCAGAAAATGCCACTAAAATTGCATTCAAATGTAGCTCATGTGGAGTATATAGCTATGGCTGAAATATATTACCTCACCCTATCTTCCTGCATGTAGCGCTAATCCATTACCCCAACCTCCTTGCCAAGTCTATGCTCTCCAAATCCTTCCTTTCACCCCACTCCTCACCCAGTCCCTTCCTCACCCACGTTTGGAATTTAGCAAAAGAAGAAGGCCATTCAGCCCCTCGAGCCTGTTCCGACATCATGGCTGATCTGTACCTCAACTCCAATTACCCCCCTTCCCCATATTCCTTCATACCCTTACCAAGCAAATATCTATCCAACTCTGTCTTGAAAATGTTAATGGATCCGGCCTCCACAGCCTTTTGGGGGAAGAGATTTCCATTACTCTTTGGGTGAAAAACTGTCTCCCGATTTCAGTCCCAAATGGCCCAGCTCTAATTTTAACTGATACCCCTTGTTCTGGATTCCCCACCAGAGGAAAGAGTTTCTCTGGAGCTTCTCTGTCAAATCCCTTTATTATTTTAAAAACCTCAGTCAGATCACCCCTCAACCTTCTAAACTCAAGGGAATACAGACCAAGTTTATGCAACCTGTCCTCATAATTTAACCCTTTAAAGCCCTGGTATCATTCTGGTGAATCTCTTGCACCACCTCCAGAGCCAATATACGCTTCCTGAGGTTCGATGCCCAAAACTGAACGCAGTATTCCAGATTGGATCTGGCCAAGGATCTATATGGAAGCATCATTTCCTCTCCTTTATATTCCAGCCTTCTTGAGATAAAGGCCAACATTAGGCTTTTTGATAACTTTTTGTACCTGTGAGCTTGTTTTAAGAGATTTTTGTACGTGGACACCCAAATCCCTTTGCTCCTCACAGTTCTTAGTTTCGCACCATTTAGAAAATCTTCTGTTTTTGCTATTTTTGGATCGGTAGTGCATGAACCTCACATTTCCCCAGATTGAACTCCATCTGCCTTCACAATTTTGCCCACTCAATCAACCTGTCTAAGTACCTTCCTGCTCCCATGCACACAATTTACTGTACCTCCTTACCCTTTATCATCTGTACATTTTGATATGGGCAGGGGAGAGAGAAGCAAGGTGTGAATGTTGAGAGGTGCCATCGATGCCCAGGACTTCCTCCAATACTGGTCCAGTCCTTCCTCCCTCCCACTCCAACCAACCAACCAACCCCGTCCTCAGTTCTTCCCTCCTCACTCCATCTCACCCCACACTGCCAGGAGTGGTGGTTGAATCAGACAGGTGTGGATGCATTCTAGAAGAATGCGAGACCTTTACACGAGGAAGAAGGGAATAAAAGGGTAATGGGAGGGAATTGGGTGGTGGTCCCATGGAATATAAACACCAGCGGGGACCGCGGTGTAGGGCCAAGTGGCCTGTTTCTGTGCTGTACATTTTTTGTAAATCTGTGCAAGTCATCCCCTCCTCCGCCAGTCAGGTCAGCTCTGCACTGGGAGAAGGGTGGTGATGGCACCTCTCACACATACACAGCCTGATCCTCCCTCCCTCCCTCCCTCCCCTCCAGCGCTGCCTCTCCTCCTGTCTGTTGGGTTTCCCAGGCAATAGGCAGAGGTTCAAGGCACAGGTGACAGTGAGAGAAACAAACAAACAAATAAATACACAAACAAACAGAGGGACACATACACACAGACAGAAAGAGAAACAAATACACAGTCAGTCTTACTCTGCACTCACACTGTGACCGACCGGTCAGCTCTGCACTGGGAGAAGGGCGGTGCTAAAGGCACTGGTGCCACCTCTCTCCCCACCCCCCCCCCCCCCCTCTCTCCCCACCCCCCCCCTCTCTCCCCACCCCCCTCTCTCCCCACCCCACCCCCCCTCTCTCCCCACCCCACCCCCCTCTCTCCCCACCCCACCCCCCCTCTCTCTCTCCCCACCCACCCCCTCTCCCCACCCCACCCCCCCTCTCTCTCTCTCCCCACCCCACCCCCCCTCTCTCTCTCCCCACCCACCCCCCCCTCTCTCCCCACCCCACCCCCCCTCTCTCTCTCCCCACCCACCCCTCTCTCCCCCCACCCCCCCCTCTCTCCCCACCGACCCCCTCTCTCTCCCCACCCCACACCTCTCTCTCTCCCCACCCCCCCCCCCCTCTCTCCCCACCCACCCCTCTCTCTCTACCCACCGGACCCACCCCTTCTCTCCCCACCTAACCCCCCCTCTCTCCCCCCACCTCTCTCTCCAGAGACAGTGACACACACACTGACACACAGTGACACACACACACAGAGTGACTGACACACAGACAGACAGTGAGACACACAGTGACACACACAGACAGACACAGACAGACAGAGACAGTGACACACAGAGGCGACCCCCCCTCCCCCGGTTGTTACCTTTGGCCTCGCAGTCGGCGCAGTACTTGTTGTCCTCCTCCCGCAGCAGTTTGGACAGGATCGCCTGGTGCTGCTCGTTCTGTTTCTGGGAGCGCTCGCGCTCTGAGCGGGTCGCCATGGTGCCGGCGGCGGGGGACCGGAGAGAGGGGGGGGGGGAGAGTCCGGGAGGCCTGAGGAGGAGAGGAGACACTGCCCGGGGCTGGCAGGGAGGGCAGGGAGGGCAAGGCTCGGGGCAGGGCAGGGCAGGGCTCGGGAGGGCAGGGCTCGGGGCTGGCAGGGCTCGGGGCAGGGAGGGCAGGGAGGGCAGGGCAGGGCTCGGGGCTGGCAGGGAGGGCAGGGCTGGCAGGGAGGGCAGGGCTCGGGGCTGGCAGGGTGGGCAGGGCTGGCAGGGCTCGGGGCTGGCAGGGCAGGGAGGGCAGGGCTCGGGGCTCAGGTGACAATACGAAGCGGCGCGAGCGAGCGAGCGACCGGCACCCGGAAACCCGGCCCTCTCACTCCCCCCCACCTCTCCCCTCACAGCCACCGCCTCTCACTGCGCAACCCGCAAATAGTGCCACCCTTTCCGGGCGGTGGAGGGGCAGTCGAGTAAAGGCGTGTCCGGCGTCAGGAGACAAGAACCTGGACCCGGGTGGGGGGGGGTGGTGGGGAAGGGTGGAACACGTATGTGGGAGGAGTGGGAGTGGGGGGTCTCGTCCACTCTGTCAGTCGGACTACTTCCGGGACGGTTCACGGTCGCCTCGCCCTCTCTCTCTGTCACTCTCTCTCTCGCTCTCTGATTTCGTGTATTCCTGCGCGGGCGGGCGGGCGCCGCGATGACGTCCGCCGGGGGCGTCACGCCCTTGCGTCGTAAGTGGTGACGCGATGGCGTCGTTGGGTAACGCCCCCACGGTCCTGTGTGTGTGACGTCACCAGCAGCTGATTGAGGGCTGGAGCCCCAGTCACTGGGCAGAGGAACCTTCAAAGGGGACAGTGGACCATCAGTTGTCTCTGATGGCTCTCTGATGCGCCCACAAAAATATTCACTTTACAGGATATCCCGTGAGGCGCTCCGAGACGTCCTGAAGGCGCTGCGCCAAACGCAAAGATTATTATTGTTTGACGCAATTGCGGAAGTCGCTGGGAACGTTCAGCAGGTCAGGAAAGTGAGCCAACGTTTCAGGCTCTGTTTTGTGGGGCATTGCTGCGGGCAAATTGTCTGCCGCTTTTGCCTAAAACTGCACAGTGGCACCTGCCCACCCTTCACCTAATGCTCTCCAGAATTCGGTAAACAGGTTGCATCTCTCTGGGGAGAGCGCATGTTCTGTCGCAGAAACAGGGAAATTTCCATGTACGGGTGGCATGTACATGTGCCACCTGTGGAGTCCTGTAGCTCAGTGGTTAGAGCACTCGCTTTGCAAGCGAGAGACCTGAGTTCAATTCCAGGCAGAGGGTGAAACCTTGGGCAAGTTTCCTTACTCCACACAGAGCCTAATAATAATCCCTCCAAAAACCAAAAACAATAATAAATTGGTCATTTTCAATCCATGACTGTTTGTGGGACATTGCTGTGCGCAATTGGCTGCCGCGTTCGCCCACAAATATACAGTCAATTCACTTTACAGTATATTCTGTGAAGTGATTTGGGACGTCCTCCCGACGTGAAAAGCGCTATATCAAATGCAAGGATTACTATTATATGTGGAACTTTCAGTCTGGTTTTCTATACTCTTAAGCATGGAGATGGGTTTCCCTTTGTGGTGGACAACGAGCTGATCAAGTACAAATTCATACCAATTCTAGGTTTCACTTCCTGGACGGTGCTGAGTAATTCTTGTGAAGTGCTCTACAGTACTAGAAATCCTTTACAGTAAATCCTGTGACATGCTTTGAGTCATCTTCCCAATCTGGAAGTTACTATATCAAATTCAATTATTATTTAGCTCAGGTAAAACAATCACAGATCTCCCGGAAAGATGGGTTTGTAACCTATCTCAGCGTTTATGATCCTGAGTCTCATTTAACGTTTTTCTTTCACTTTTAAAGTCCAGATCTTAAACTCAAATTGGAAGATTTGCTGAGGGGATGAAATGAGTTAAGTCCATGGTAGTCTGTATAAGGAAAGAGCTGACATGATTTGGTCCAAAGTCTTTTTCTGGTCACACACATTGTTAGGAATTCATTCACATGACTATCGATGGGGCACTTAGCATGTTGGAGTATGCTGAGCAAAGGGGAATGTTACTCGTGTGTTGTATTACTGGAATATGTGTCCAGTAAACCTGTCTTTGCAAACCAGTGAGAAACTGTTTCATAGAATCTTAAAATGTTACAGCATAAAAATGCGCCATTCAGCTCTGCTAAGACTGTGCTGATATTTTTCTCATGCGTTCCAAACTCATTCACCGTATCCTTTAATATATCTGTTCTTCAAACATCTAATGAAGAGAAATATTAAGACATGAGAATGTGACTTTTAATTGACTTGTCAATATATTATTTTAACACTACACTATAACAATTGTATATTTTGTTTCGCCGATCTAGTGAATCAAGTGAATCTAGTCAATTCACTTCACAGTATATTCTGTGAAGCGCTTTGAGGCGTCTGAAAGATGTGATAAGGTGCTATATCAAATGCAAATATTATTATTAAGTAATTTTGTAATTTCTTTCTCAGGTATATGCTCCGAACAGACAGGATACTTCGATGCCACATTCAGTATGCGTAAAGCAGTAAGCAACTGCTGGATTCAGTGGAATTGACAGAATGGGTGACACAGTATCTAACCAGCCAGGACCAGTCCACCTGTCAGTGCGCTGGTTGTTGAGTGTTGATGTGGAACAAGAAAGCACCAGAGATGTGAAGACACATTGTCAACAAACAAAAGCACAGCGTTGCAGAAAGTGTTGAAACCCCCAAGTGGCACAGCGGTAAGATCACTGCTGAGTGAGGAACTGAGCCAAACAGACTGGAAAGTCTCTACGTTTCTTTACAGATTAGCCATGATATAATAGAATACAACAACAAAATTACAGTTGTATAGTGCCTTCACGTCGGGAGGACATACCAAGGCCCTGGACAGTCAGTGTTTTGGACCTGAGATGGGGGTCGGGATTAAGAACATAAGAATTAGGAGCAGGAGTAGGCCATTTGGCCCCTCGAGCCTGCCCCGCCATTCAATAAGATCATGGATGATCTTCTGACCTAACTCTAATTACCTGCCCTATCCCCATATCCCCTAATCCCTCTATTTTTAAAAAATCTATCAGTCTCAGCCTTGAAGATGTTCAAGATGACTATGGGAACTCTCTCCTCGCCGGCCTTCCCGCCACCTCCCTCCACAAGCTGCAGGTCATTCAGAACTCTGCAGCTCGTGTACTGTCCCGCACCAGGCTTCGGGACATCACTCCCACCCTCGCTCGCCTCCACTGGCTCCCCATCCCCCAGAGGATTGATTTCAAGATCCTCATCCTCACCTACAAGGCCATTCATGGCCTCGCTCCCTCCTACCTCTCCAACCTACTTTCCCCCTACCTACCTGCCTATACCCTCCGTTCCTCCGGCTCCGGTCTGCTCCACGTCCCCCGCCCCAATCGCCCTACCATCGGTGGCCGGGCCTTCAGCCTCTCAGCCCCGAGGCTCTGGAACTCTATCCCCCAGTGCCTTCGCCGCTTCCTCCCTTTCCTCCTTCAAGGCCGGTCTCAAAACCTTTCTCTTTGATCGTGCCTTCAGCTCCCCTCTCGACTCTCTTCCCCCTTCTCGCTCCCTCCCTTCCCTCCCTCACCCTGACCATTTCCCCCCTCCTCGCTCCCTCCCTTCCCTCCCCTCACCCTGACCATTTCCCCCCTGCTCGGGTCATGACCCAACTGTGCAGCGCCTTGGGACGTCGTCCTGATGTGAAAGGCGCTTTATAAATGGAATCTTGTTGTTGTTGTTGTTCAAGGACTGAGCATCTACAGCCTTCTGGGGTAGTGAATTCCATAAATTCACTACCCTCTGAGTGAAGAAATGTTTCTTCAACTCTGTTCCTAAAGGCTGACCCTTAATTTTAAGACTGTGACCCCTGGTTATAGATTCTCCCACCAGGGGAAACAGACCCTCAGCGTCTACTTTATCAGCCCTTTAAGAATCTCATATGTTTCAATAAGATCCCCCCTAATTCTTCTATACTCTAAGAGAATACAGCCCCAGTTTATTCAGCTTATCCTCATAGGTCAGTCCTCTCATCCAGGAACTAACCGAGTGAATCTATGCTGCACCCCCTCTGGGGCAAGTATGTCCTTTTTTAAATAAGACCAAAACTGCACACAATACTCTAGGTGCGGTCTCACCAAGGCCCTATACAGTTGCAGCAAGACTTCCCTACTCTTGTACTCTAAATTGGGGATGGTGGGGAGGAAGCAAGGTGACCGAAAGCAGAGGAGGAGGGTCTTGAGATGGCTTGAAGGAGGCAAAGGAGGGGGCAAGATGGAGGGACTGCAGGATGGAGTCCCAGAGTGTGGGGGCAAAGTGGCAGGAGGCTCGCCCTCCAATGGTGGGGCAGGTGAGGCGGGAGACATGAAGCAGGCCGGAGCCTGATGAGCCAAGGGAGTGGGCAGGATGGTAGGGGGTTAGCAGGTCACAGATATAGGTGGGAGCAAGACGATAGAGGGCCTTGAAGGTGAGGACCAGGATCTTGAACTGTATCCTCTGTGTGATGGGAAGTCAATGGAGTCGAGCGAGGATGGGGTGATAGGGTCATGGAGCCCGGTGTGGAAGAGAACACGGCTGCAGAGTTCTGGATGATCTGCAGCCTGTGGAGGGAGGAGTTGGGGAGGCCAACAAGCAAGGAGTTTGCATAGTCAAGCCTCGATATTATGAATGCGTGTATGAGGGTCTCGGCAGCCTGCAGTGTGAGACAGTTGTGGAGGTGGGGGGGCGATGTTGTGGAGGTGGGGGAAGGCAGAGCAGGTCATGGCACAGATGTGGGAAAGAAAGGATAGTTGAGGGTCAAACAAGACCTCAAAGTTCTGGACTGGCTTAATAAGGTGGAGTATGCAACCATGGATGGTGTTGCTGTCAGCGCTTGAGGTGTGGAGGCACTGACGGGAGCCAATCAGGAGAGCCTCAGTCTTGTTGACATTCAACTGTAGAAAGTCAGCTCTCATCCAGGACTTGATGTCCGACAGACATTATGTCAGGACAGCAGTGGTCCTGGAGTCAAGGGTGGAGGCAGAGAGGTACAGTTGGGTGTCATCTGCAGACATGTGGAAGTTGACCCCATATCTGGGGATGATATCACCAAGAGGGAGCATATAAATATTGAAGAGGAGGGGACCAAGGACAGAGCCCTGAGGAACCCCGCATGAGGACGGTGCGGTTGCTAGAGGAGAAAACGTTTGTGGAGATGGTACAATCTGAACTAGTCAAGGGCAGAACTGTGAATTTTGAGGTGAGAGGAGAGGCGGTGGGTGAGGATAGAGTAGTCGATGGTGTCAAAGGTAGCGGAGAGTTCAAGGAGTACGAGGGAGCCCTAGTCGCAGATGGACCAGAATGTCATTTGTCACTTTGATGGGGCGTTTCTGTGCTGTGGGAAGCACGGAAACCTGATTGGAGGGGTTCGTGAAGGGAGTGGCAGGAGAGGAAGGAGCGAAGCTGGGAAGCAATGACTCATTCCAGGACCTTGGAGAGGAAAGGGAGGTTGGAGATGGGGCGGTAGTTTGAGAGCGGGAATGGGTTCAGGCAGAGTTTTTTTAAGGATAGGAGTGATGACAACCATTTTTAAAGCGGTGGGAATGGTACCAGTGAACAGGGAGAGGTTTGTGATATCTGTGAGTAGAGGGGCAAGGAGATGGAGCTGGGATGTAAGGAGGGGTAGGGATGGGGTACAGGGAGCAGGTGTTTGTTTCATGCGGGTTATAGTGGTGGTGAGAGAAGAGTGGGAGACAGGTTCAAAGATGTGGAAGGAGGGATGGGTAGGGGCCAGCTTGAGAGGGGGAAATGGGGAGGGGGTAGCAGACGGAAAGGCAGAGGCAGCTGAGCGAATCCCCTCGATTTTAGATTTGAGGAATTCCAGCATCGCCTCGCAGTTTGCATTGGAAGTGAGGATGGGCAAAGCGTGAGAGGGTTGTTGGAGGAGCCGGTTAGTGATGAAGAGGAGCCTGGACTTGTCCTTGGCATCCAAGATTGTCTTGGAGTAGAACGACAATTTAGCAGAGGCGAGGGGGGAGCGATAGGATTTGATAAGGTTCAGCCAGATCTGCCGATGGACCGTTAACTTCGATTTAAGCCAGGTGCATTCAGCGGCATATACTTGTGCTTTAAGGGAGCGGATGGAGGTGGATGGTGTACCATGGTGACTTTCATTAGGAGAAGGCTCGGGAAGTGAGGAGAGCAAGGGAATCGCGAGTGGTGGAGAGGGAGCTGTGGGGAAGAGGGATTGAGGAGGATAGGTCATTGGCAGAACAGACTCGAGGGGCTGAAGGCCTACTCCTTTTCCTATGTTTCCCTCCATTTAGGAAGTGGAGAATCAGTCAGGATTTGCCTTGCTGATGGTTGGAAACTGTGTCAAGAACAACTACTTGCATTTATATGGTGACCTCCCAGCATTGCATCATTCCTGATTGGATTGGGCTGCATTATAGTGCTTTTCTCTCCCCACCCCTCCCTCCTCTATGATAGCTTAATACCCTGTCAGACTGGCTGTTTAAACTCAATCAAAAAGACTAGCCATTTGGGTGAAGTACTTGAGGATATCCCCACTGTGGGTCGGAGCTTTGAAGAGTGAAGCAAAACGGTGAGGGCTAAACACACCATGTTAAAACTGAGGACTCTCTAGCCACGCTACAAACCATGGTTGCTGACACTAGATTTGTTCAAATTAACTCTTCTGAGAAAGAGCTGAACTTCTGGCACATGTATGTGCTGAACTCACCCTGCGGTAAATGTTGTAGATGGGGAAGAAAGACAAGCAGTACAAGAGGTAGGTGAGGACATTTTGTACATTTCAACATCCGGTCACCTTCCTCCTTCCACCACTCTTGGTGATCCAACTGTCCCTTTAAAGCAGTTTGAGATGGCACCGCACATAAAAGTGCATAAGTTCAAGTTATCCAGTTCTTGGAAGTGTTTTGAAAAAGGCAGTGGGCAGTGTGTTATCCTCTTTGAAAATATATATTATATAATATTGCAAAGCAGGCAAAACAAGGACACCAAAACTCCCTGGACACAAGAGTTTAAAAGGCCCTCAGTAGGAAGGCTGAATTTTGATGTGTAGACTGACAGATGTCGAGTCAATTTTCTCTAAACCAACAATAAACAACCTACTTCAAACAACATTTGCCTCTGACTCCCAACATATTACACAGTAGGCTTTTATTTCAATATCAACATTTGTTTTCTTTCACTCTTACCAATATTTCCCCACATTCTCATCTTCTGAGTTTTTGCTATTCCGGAACGATTTCATAAGCACTAGACGCACTCTGGTACATTGTCCGAGTGCTCAGTATTTACCTGTGAGCCCTAGTAGTGTAGTTGACAGCTTCCCTCCAGCCTGTTTGCCCTCACAGACACTCCAGCAATGTTAACAATCAGGAGTGGTTAGCTTGGCAGATATTCCCCGTTTACCCTGAGGAGCTGAGACCAAATGTCATCTCACGAATGCACACACAAGAGAGAAGGAAATAGAGGGTGTGTGGAATTAGGTTGGGTGGAGGCTAGTTTGGAGCATAAGTATCAATATAGATGATCTGAGCCAAATGGCTTGAACATATGTGTGTGTAGAATCAAGTTTCAACGTGCTTTATAAAGATGTGAATTAACAAGTAGGAAAGGGCTGTTCAAGGACACTGATTAAGGCACGATTATTTTTAAGAAGGGTTTTGAGGCAGGGAAAGAAGGTGCAAGGAATAGGGATTTGGAAAGCATGTCCCAGAGTTCTATTGCTTGCTGACAAGCTATCTGCCTACATGGGTATCACAGACTAGTCTAATCCTGTCCACGTCTATGTTTTGCAGAAGGGAGTATAGAGCAGTGAACAGAAATGCACCCTCCCCTTCCTAGAAGTGCAAGCATAAGACTTTCGTAGAACAAGGTTCTTTCATCAGATCTGTAATTTTCTTCCTGAATTCTAGGCTGGCTTTAGATTTACACAGTATAGGCTACACTCAGCACTACACTCTGGAAATCTGTACAGTCCAGGCAGAGTTGCTCAGGAGAACATTCTGCCTCCTGCAACATGACTTGTTTTGTTTCTGACTCTTCCACTTTCTCCCCAGATCCTACCTTGCCCGCGTTGGTTACACCGGGTTGTGGCTTGACCCTGCTGTTCATACTAAGCCCTGCCTTGACGGCTGATCTCTGGGCCGGGCTTTCATCCCAATGATCAGATTGGGCCGTGCCTTAGCTACTTAGTCCTGTTAAAATAATGATTAGGCCACACACACACACACACACACAGAGTAAGTGAATTATTTAAGCGCCGAGATGCATTGAGTGGTGTTACTTCCCACGTAACAACAGGACCACTAGTTCATCTTCACATTGGATCTTATTTGGATTTTGTACAACATAAATATATTTATACTTTTAATTACAGTCTAAAACATTGCCATTTGTAATCATTTTCTTTCAAAGAGGCTAGAATCTCAATTGTCCCATTTGTTTTGTTATCTTTCCAAAGGCAAGTAAGTAACTGCATATTCACACAAATGCAACCTCTGGGAACCCTATGCTGAACACAGCCGTGGCATTGCTGGAGCTGCACAACTTACTCTCAATATATTTAAATGCACAATGCTGTACAGCAGAGCAACTTAGAAGTCAATGCATCGTCCCTTTCTCTCCCAGTCTCCATAGCGGGTTGGTTCAGGGCCTCGGGGCCCACCCATTTCCTTTGTGACTGGATTGATGTCATCAGGAAAACCTAGAAGGCAGACAGAACATGAGCTGTATGATTGTTGTGTAACCTGATGTACGGGTTATGAGAAGTAAGCTTCATTTACAGGAGGCAAATAGTATCCAAATTCTTGACACCACAATAAATATATGAATATTTTTAGAGAGGGATTAATATTCAGCGCAAACAGCTATTGAAGTCGATAAAAATGTTAAAAATGTAGTCAATCCACTTTACAGTGTATTCAGTGAAGTGCTTTGAGACTCTCAACGACGGAATAAGGCGCTATATCAAATGCAAAGATTAGTATTAAAAAAAGATAAATGTATGAGGGAAACAATACTAAGGGGAATGGGGCAAAAACAGAAGAGAGTATTTGCTCCAGAATGTATGTGTGTATGTGTGGGGGGAACAAGTGCCAACACAGGTATGTCCGGGGAAGCGGGATTAATTTGGACAACTTTTTCAAAGAGCCAGCACTGGCACGATGAGCCAAATGGCCTCCGTCTATGCTATATAATTCTACGATGAGTTGAATGCTGTCCTGTACTGGAATGTTCTGCAATCTGATCATGGTTTGAATTGGACAATGCACATCCTCGTATCAGATGAAACAAAACATGAGTGACTCACGTTCCAGGGGATCTTTTTCCGCTGAGCTCTCCTGTGGTTTATCAAAGCAACCGACGGGGGTGACAGGCTTTTTCAAAGGCTCTTTCTTCAGGCCCCCTTTGCTCTGACTCACTGATCTCCAGGAATTCCAGAGCCTAAAGCCTATGGATAAAAGACCCCATATATAGTGAATACATTGGTTTAAATTGTGGTAGATGATAACAAACATTATGACACAAAGTGTCTGTAAAGTCCTGTTAACCCACATGTTTTTTCTCTACAGTGCAGTGGCCAACAGCTAAAACATGTGCAAGAATGATAAATGTATTTAGAATAATAACCCTGGCATTTGATACAGTGATTTTCACTTCTTCTCGACGTCTCAAAGCTCTTCACAGAATAGACTGTAAAGTGAATTGATCGTATATTTGTGGGCGAAACACGGCAGCCAATTACGCACAACAAGTGTCCCACTAACAGTCGTGGATTGAAAATGACCAATTTATTATTGTTTTGCTTTGGAGGGATTATTATTAGGCTCTGTGTGGCATAAGGAAACTTGCCCAAGGTTTCGCTCTGCCTGGAATTGAACCCAGGTGTCTCGCTTGCAAGGCGAGTGCTCTAACCACTGAGCTATAGGACTCCACAAATTGATGCGCCATTATTTTCATGGTAGATAATGATCCGTCACCATGTTTGGTGCAGCATGTTCCGTAACATGGATGGAGTGAGGAGGAAAAACGTATCTCTGACACCTTGTTTCAGCTCCTCTGTCGTCTCATATCACTGTTTGTAACAGGGGTGTAACAGGACTTTGTGGACATCCTATAAATGAAAGGACTGAACATGAAAATTAGTCATTCTATGTTTTCCCATTGATTTTACACAAGGAAAGAAAGCTACAGCCAAACACTGAAAGCCTGCATCTATAAATGCCAGTACAGAAAATGTGACTCCTTGGAGCTTGGACTTGTGGAGGTACGGACTGTTCACTGCAGAGTGCCAACAGCTCAAAGGTTAAGAATAATTTATTTCCAGGGACAGTCTTTGTTTTATGCTGTCATCGTTCTGGGTCAACTGTATTCATTTCAACCGTGTCACAATTTCCACTGTCAGCTCACAGCACCGGTTATGTAACTCAGTCGCACTGTTAGGCCAACAACAGGGAAATGTTGATATTGAGATGGATTACAAACCTATTTGAACAGCATGATGCTCCATTTCAAAGCACCACATAGAAACAGTCACATTTTTAATTCAACTTCTCCACTGAGGCCAAATGCAGCATCAACTTGCATTTATTAATGTAGTGCCCTTCACATGGGATAGTGGACTGGTGCGCTTGACAGTGGTGGAGTCTGATCCCGAGCTCGGGGGAGAGGGAGGGGGGAGGTGACCGTAAGCACGATCAAAAAGGAAGGTCTTTAGGCAGGATTCGAAAGTGGGGAGGGAGGGGGCAAGGCAGAGGGATTGAGGGAGAGAGATGCAGAACTTCCGGGCTTAGTGTTTGAAAGTACGGCCGCCAATGGTGGAGTGGAGGGGGCCGGGGGGGGGGGGGGGGGGAGGACAATCCTATTATTCTGTGAATTCAGATAGAATACAGGACCACTGCACCAGAAGTGTGTGGAAGTGCAGTACACTTCCTGCTTCAGTGCTGACCAACCAGCTTTCTGTGCACACGTGTAGCAGAGCTCTGGGCCAACCTCCACAAATCCCCACGAATTGCGTTTTTCTTTCTGTCACGGGAATTGTTTCTTTCAGCTGACTGTAAATATATATTCTATCTACAACAAATTACATTTGTATAGCGCCTTTCACACTGGCACTGGACTGTCAAGGATGTGGAATCAAGCTGGGGGTTGTGATCTGGAGGGGTGGTGGGCAAAAGAGTGAACAAGGCGAAGGACTGTGGGATAGAGATCCAAAGGGTGGGACCAGAGAGTATATTTATCGACATATACAGTACATTTGTTTATATAAAAGAAAATAGAGGTGTTGGGCGGAGGCTACAATATAATCAGAATCTCATTTTATGGACCACCACACCTACCATACTTTAATGGGGGTGGACTCTACTTTCAATCCGTTTCCTTCCCCGATCACATTGCTCTTCAAATGTTTAGCCAACTCCCTTCTAAATGTGGGTATGGTCTTAGTGTCCCACAAACGCTATACAAATGTAATTTTGTTATTATTGTTGTATTATTACTCCCCCTCCACGGGGGAATGACAACAACAAATACATTTTTATAATGCCTTTCACGTCAGGAGGACGTCCCAAGGCGCCGGAGAGAGTTACAGACCCGATCTGGGGGTTGGGGTCAGGGAGGGTGGAGGGCAGGGGGGATGCAGGGAGATCGAAAGAACGGTCGAAGAGGAGAGTCTTGAGATGGGTCTTGAAGGAGACAAGGGAGGGGGTGAGGTGGGAGGTGGCGGGTTGGGGCAGAGTGGCAGAATGTCCACCCGCCAATAGTGGGGCAAGCGAAGCGGGGGACGTGAAGCAGGCTGGAACCCAGTGAGCGGCGGGAGTGAGCGGGATGGTAGGGGGTTCGGAGATCAGAGATGTAGGAGGGAGCAAGACCGTGGAGGGCTTTGAAGGTGAGAACCAGGATCTTGAACTGTATCCTCTGTGCGATGGGAAGCCAGTGGAGTCGGGCGAGGATGGGGGGGTGATAGGGTCGCGGAGCCTGGTGCGGGAGAGGACACGGGCTGCAGAGGTCTGGATGATCTACAGCCTGCGGAGGGGGGAGTTGGGGCAGTGAGTTTGCATAGCTGATGTAATGAAGTCACGTATGAGGGTCTCGGGGGCCTGCGGTGTGAGACAGCGGCGGAGCCGGGCGATGTTGCGGATGTGGGGGAAGGCAGAGCGGGTCATGGCGCGGATGTGGGGTAGAAAGGATAGTTGGAAGGTCAAACGAGACCCCAAGTTTCCGGACTGGGTTAGTGAGGTGGAGTGGGCAGCCATGGATGGTGATGCTGTCAGCGTCCGAGGTGAGGAGGCGCTGACGGGAGCCGATCAGGAGAGCCTCGGTCTTGTTGACGTTCAACTGTAGAAAGTTCTCTCTCCTCCAGGACTTGATGTCTGACAGACATTCTGTCAGAACAGCAGTGGTCCTGGAGTCAAGGGGGGAGGCAGAGAGGTACAGTTGGGTGTCATCCGCACACGTGTGGAAGTTGACCCCATGTCTGGGGATGATGTCACCAAGTGGGAGCGTATAGGTGTTGAAGAGGAGGCACAAAGTACACAGTCACTACACTTTACAGTATATCCCGCGAAGCGCTTTGAGACGTCTCAATGACGTGATAAGGCGCTGTATCAAATGCGAGGATTATTATTATCATCATTATTATAGCAGCATATAATCACACACACGATATCATATAATACAATGTATAATACAATACAACACGGAGTAGTATTATGGCAAATAGTATTGGACAGTGTACGGCATTATGTAGCGCCGTATGTACATTAAGGTGTATCAGAGTATAATACTTATATCATTAATAACAATAAATGATGGTCTCTCGCCATCCACTGCCCTTACTCTCGGCCCGGAGTGGGAGAGGGAGCCTCAGAGGTCGGCAAACCCCGGCCATAGCCCTGTCCTGTCGCCGCCGCCGCCGCCGCCGCGATTCAAATTCAAACCGGGAGACGGTTAAACCAACCGCCACCGGAACCGACCGCGAGCCCCAGCACTGCGCGTGACCAGGCCCCGCCCCGGCCGCCTCACCACGTGACAGGCCACGTGATCGCTACCACGTGATGTGCTCGCCCCTGATGGTACCGCCTGAGCCCGGCGCGCAGGAGCGGCAGCAACGGCCGACCCCGCCCAGTGAGGGCGAGGGGCACGCAGCCACGTGATCGCGACACGCGATCCAGCCGTCGCCTCACCCCCCCCCGCACCAGTTGAGGCCCCGCCCAGTGAGGGCGGAAGTTCCCACCTGACGAGGACTGGATGGGCCTCGGCCATTGGAGGGAGCTGTGGTGTGGAGGTCCCCGGGGACCCCGTGTCCGGCCCCCAAACCCCTCCCGGATGGGGGGGGAGAGACTGAGGTGCGGTGTGTGTCCCGATCGGCGATCCGTTCGCTGCTGATGTTTGGGGGGCGACACCTGGGCGTTTCTCCCGTGAGCCTCAGCAGCTGAGAGGTTGGTGTTGGGGGGTACCTCGGCCCTGAGGCTTTGGGGTGGGGGGGGTCACTGGGATACCCCCTCCCCACTGCTTACTTACCCTGTGTATTGCAATTGAGTGCCCCCCCCAACAAGTCCTCCGCACCACCATCGGCCGCAGTGCCTTCAGCCGCTGCGCCCCGAAACTTGGGGAACCCCCCCCCCATCTTCCTCCCTCAACCCCCCCCTTCGCCCACCCCCCCCCCTCCTCCTCCTCCTCCTCCGCGCCTACGGTCGCCTTCCCCCCAACCCCCCCCCACCACCGGCTCGGCCGCTGCCACCGTTAAGCTCTTGAGACGCCGCACAAGCGCAAGTCGTTGCTGTCGTAGCCGACGCGATCGCCCGGGGGGTTCCGGCCGGCGAACATGAGCTGATGGTGACGGCGGTCCTTGCGCTCTGCGCAGCCTGACCCCGGGGGCGCCTCAAGGCGCTGCGCGGGAATGTACTGTGAAGCGGATTCGCCGTGTGTTTTGCGGGCGATTGCGCTCTGAACAAACCCTCCGAAATCGACCCCAGTTCTAAAACGGCAGAGCGATGAGTCTCGGTAAGAAAGGCAAAGCGGTTTTGCGCTGCGCAAAGTTTCAGTGTCAATGGGAAACGGAGTACTTGTTTGTCGAAAACAACGAAAAACCGCTGTGCCTCGTTTGCCTGCGAGTGATATCTTTGTTGAGAGAGTTCAACATCAGCCGGCACTACAACTCCCAGCACAGGAAAAAGTACGCCGGGTACACTGGCGACTCCCGGATCGCTCTCGTCAAGGACTTGAAAAGCAGATTTCAAAAGAAAAGGTACATTTTCAGCAAAATCCCAAGTCTGACCGCGTCCTACGAGGTCTCTCTCCAGCTGGCGAAGTGCACAATGCCATTCCGAGACGGCGAAGTGGTAAAATGCTGTGCGGCCAGGATGGCTCGTGCGTTTGGTGATGATGAAACGGCCAAGACTTTTAAAAGTGTGTCACTGTCTCACCAAACTGTGGCAAGGAGAATAAGTGACCTGAACGATTACGTGAACGCGAAGCTCAGAGCAATCGTTGAACGTTGTTCGTACTTCTCATTAGCTCTGGATGACAGCGCTGACATCAATGGAATCAGTCAACTGTTGATTTTCATCAGAACCATTGATGAAAATTTCACCATTCAAGAAGAATTACTCGAGTTATTTCCTCTGAATTCCGGGAAAAACGTGTTGGATCTTCACAAGGCTCTTACTTCACTTATCAGTGAATATGGATTTCAGAAGTGTTCCTGTATTGTAACGGATGGTGCAAAATCAATGACCGATTTGGTAGATTTGCTGAAGGAAAATGGAATTCAATGTACCGCCCTCCACTGCATCATACGTCAGGAGTCCCTTTGCGGAAAATCTGTGATAATGAGTAACGTGATGACTAGCGTCATCAAAGTCATCAACATTATCCGCGGAGGAAATGGAGCCCAGAGTCACAGCAAGTTCATCAACTTCCTTGAAGAATTGGATGCCGAATACGGTGATTTGCCTCTTTATTCAGAAGTGCGTTGGCTGAGTGCGCACAAGTGCCTCGTGCAGTTTTTTGCACTTAGGAAGGAGGTACTTTCATTCTTGAAGGAACATGTAAAGAGCAACACGGCACAGTTTGAAAAGGAATTGGAAGATCCAACCTACCTGCGTTCATTGGCTTTCTTAACGGACATAACGAGTCATCTCAACATCCTCAATCTCCGACTACAAGGTAGAAAGCAGAATATTTCACACCTTATGGCGAATGTCGACGGGTTCCGCAGAAAGCTGGGATTGTTGAACTCGTCACTTCAGCAGAACGACCTCAGCCATTTTCCATCATGCAAGGAACTTGCAACTGAACTTGAAGGAGCTGATTTTCGCAGCTTTTCAGAAATCATCAACGATCTAGCGGATGAATTCAGCGTCAGATTTGCTGATTTTGAGGGTTTGAGGTCCAGCGTCCAACTGTTCAACAATCCAATGGAGGTGTTGATTGAACAGCAACCAGAAGATATTCAGATAGAGCTGTACAGACTGCAAAGTAGCCCTTCCCTCCTCTCAAAGAAGAATCAAATTTACGAAAACTTCTGGAAAATTATCCCTAAGGATCGTTTTCCTAAATTAAATGACTTTGCGCTGAAGATGTGTTCCATGTTTGCAAGTACACGTATTTATGAAAGCACGTTTTCTGCAATGAAACGCGTTAAGTTCAAACATTCCAACGGGCTTGATAGACATACCCTAGAAAGCTGTCTCCGACTCGCCACCACTGAACTCAAAGTTGACATTGGAGCTCTGATTCAAGAGAAACATTTTCCACAGTGTTCATACTGAATGTCGAGGAAATGTATATTGAGTAAAATAATTTGTTTGCCATTTTCATGTAATTGTTTGTTCTTGATATTATTTTGAATTATTATTAAAAATATGTATAGTGTCTATTTTGTCCCTCTTGTTAGTTTTGCAATTATACATTAATCTGTTTTAGTTTTGTTGAGCATCCTCTGCAGTGGCTTACACATGTTGAGTTGATCTTGTTGTTTTGATATTAATTTATAAAAAATAAATGCATACATTTCCACCTGAGATTATCATTAATTCAAAACTCCGCTGCACGCATTACACCAGTGTTAGCCAGACTCCACTGGCTCCATATCACCGAACAGATTGATTTCAAGATCCTCACACTTGTATTCAAATCCCTTCACTCCCTGGCACCTCCCTACCTCTCCGACCTGCTAAGTCCGCAACCCACTCCCCGTTGGCTTCACTCAACTGGCTCTGACTTTCTGCTAGTCCCTGGTGCTCTCCGTTCCACCATCGGTGGCTGTCCTTTCAGCCACTACGCCCCGAATCATTCTTCCTCGATCCCTCCGCCTTGCCCCCTCCTTCGCCATCTTCAGGCCGCGCCTACGCTCACCTCCCCCCCCCCGGCTCGGTGTCATACTCCACCACTGTCGCTCTGGGACGCTACCCTGTGTGAGGGGCGCTGTATAAATGCAAGTTGTTATAATTTTGTTTGTTGTTAGGGCTATTAATTCACTTCATTATTTCTTTCACTTTCATTGTTTACTCTGGATTTAATGATTATTCTTGCCTATAAGTTACAGTACTTGATAAAGATATTATTGTTAAAATTTGTGTGAGTTTTTACATTGCCTATTTAAAGTTTGCACTGTATTTAAAATATAGTGAAATTAAGTAACACAGTTATACAATTTAAAACAGAATTACATAGAATATAGAGCACAGAAACAGGCCATTCGGACCAACTGGTCTATGCCGGTGTTTATGCTCCACATGAGCCTCCTCCTGCCCTTCCTCAACTAAGTCTATCAGCAGAACCTTCTTTTCTTTCTCCCTCATGTACGTATCTGGCTTCCCCTTAAATACATCTATGCTATTCACCTCAACTACTCCTTGTGGTAGCACGTTCCACATTCCCGCCACTCTCTGGGTAAAGACGTTTCTTGTGACTTCCCCATTTGCTTTTGGTGACTATTTCATATTCATGGCCCTGGTTTTGGTCTCTCCCACAGGTAGAAACATCTTCTCCATATCTTCCCAATCAAAACTTTCATAATTTTAAAGACCTCTATCAGGTCACCCCTTACCCTTCTCTTTTCAAGAGAAAAAAGGCTCCAAGCTTGTCCAGCCTTTCCTGATAGGTATAACCTCACAGTTCCGGTGTCATCCTTGTAAATCTCCTTTGCACCTTCTCCAGTGCCTCTAAATCCTTTCCATCATATGGGGACCAGAACGTGACACAGTATTGCAAGTGTGGTCTAACCAAGGTTCAGTATAAGTTTAGCATAACTTCCCTGCTTTTCATTTCTATCCCTCCAGAAATGAACCCAATGCTTGGTTTGCTTTTTTTTATGCCTTATTAACCTGCGTTTCTACTTTTAGCGGTTTGTGTATCTGTACCCCTGGATCCCTTTGCTCCTCTACCACATTTAGACTCTTATTTTCCAAGGAGTATGTGACCTTCTTATTCCTCCTACTAAAATGTACCAACTCACACTTATCTATATTGGAATTCTTTTGCCAATTAAATGCCCGTGCAGCAAGTTTATTAATGTCTTGTGGTACTTTGTTGCAGTCCTCGTTGTTGTTGTTGTTGTTGTTGTCCTCAGTATTAACTACTCGCCCCAATTTGGTGTTGTCTGCAAATTTTGAAGTTGTACTTTCGATCCCCGAGTCCAAATTGTTAATGTAAATTGTGAACAACTGTGGTCCTAATACCGATCCTTGTGGAACACCGCTTCCCACCTGCTGTCCGCCTGAGTAGCTGCCCTTTACCCCTTCTGTTTTCTGTCTTGTAGCCAACTTGCTATCCATTCGGCTACTTTTCCCCTGACTCCACAAGCTCCGACCTTATTCATTAGTCTATTATGCGGTACCTTATTGACGTTCAGGTGGATGTCAATGATCCCATGGCACAATTCGAAAAGAGAAGGGAATTTCTCCCTGAGGGGGATTGTTGGCAAAGTCCCATCTGCCTGTCCAGGTGGACATTTCAGATGTCCACCTGAACAGGCAGATGGGACTTTGGTTTAACGTCTCACCTGAGAATGCATGGAGATATCATAGGACGTAGGTTTTCTGTCTGAAAAACTTTTGTCCAAGGTTCCCACTCCTGACTGCTCTCTGGTGACGCCTGCTGGAAAGATATCAGAGGCGTGTGGAGAAAGGAAACTTGCCAACATTTCGTAGTGACAGGAATTAAACCCAGGTCTCTCGCTTGCGAGGTGAGTGCTCTAACCACTGAGCTGCAGGAATAAACTGCCCACACTCACTGTCAAGGTCACGCATGACGACTGGCCACTTGGTCCAATGGAATCAGGTTTCTTGGCATGCCGCCACGGTGAGGCCAGTGAACGAAAATGAATACAGTGGTAATTCCCAATGCATTCAAATGCTCCTTTTAATCTTTCATCCAATCTTCTACCTTACCCAGTGTTTAAGACTGCAGGTACTACGCCTCTAGCATCTCGATCTCCGTCTCTCCAATCCTTCATCTTGCCTCTTCTGCACGTCTTTGTCTCACCTCAAAGCCTACCTCGTTGAACATAGGCACCTCTCCCCTCACCCCAACTTGTCGACCGGCTCCACCTTTGTAAAACCCTCCAATACCTTACCCTGTGTGAAAGTCGTTAAATTCAAGTTGTTTCATCCAGGCTCTGACCATCTCCGCAACATTGGCCAACAGCCAACACCTCACCTCCAGCAGCTGAAACCCTCACCCCTGCTTTTGTCATCTGAAAACTAGACTTTTCTGATGCCCTTCACATTGCCCTCCTCAGGTCCACCCTCCACAAACAAGAGAATCAGTATCCCCCACCGCACCAGGCTCTTCAATCTCTTTCCTTGCCCCTTCCCGCCTCCAATCCTCGTCCAGAACCCCTCTTCTCTTTTCGAATAGTATCACGGGATCTTTAACGGCCACCTGATCTGGCAGAGGGGACATCGGTTTAAACGTCTAATCCGAAGGACAGTACCTCTGACAATGCAGTGCACCATCAACACTGCACTGCAGTGTCAGCCTAAGTCTGTACTCGTTCGAAGTCCCGATAGACGGTTTGACCCAATGAGCTTGGGACTCAAAGGTGAGAGTGCTAAAATCTGAGCCAGGCTGACTCACAATACCGTACTTTGAAGTAATGATAATATTTGCATTTGATAGTCTTGTCACGTCGTCGAGACCTCTCAAAGTGCTTCACAGAATATACTGTAAAGTGAATAAACTACGCCAACTGACTGCTCGCTGGATTTTCCAACTCTTCCCTCCACGAGATGCAGATTATTCAAAACTGCAGCTTGTGTTCTCTCCCGCACCAGGCGCTGCGAACCTATCACCCTTGCTCTTGCCCGGCTTCACTGCCTCCCTATCTCTCAGAGAATCAAGTACAAAACCCTTGTTCTCACCTTCAAAGCCCCCCGCGGTCTTGCTCACCTCTACCTCTTCAACTTCCTAACCCCATATTAGCCTGTCCGCTCCCTCTGCTCGGCGGACCCCGGCTTGCTTCAGGTCCCCGCAATTCCTGCCCCACCATTGACGGTCGGGCAATCAGCATCTCTGCCCCCACTCTAGAATTCTACCCTGCAATCCCTCCGCCTCATCCCCTCTCTTACCTCCTTCAGGTCCCGTCTAAAGACCTTCCTCTTCGACTGTGCCTTCGGCTGTCCTCCCCTCCCTCCCTGCCCTCCACCACTCCTAACCCCAACTCCCAGCTCGGATCCAAAAGCCCCTGATTGTCCAGCACTCTGGGACATCTTTCTGACGTGAAGGGTGCTTTACAAATGTAATTTGTTATTGTTGTAAACAGAGGCGTGTGGAGTAAGGAAACTTACCTAAGGTTTCTCCCTGCCCAGGAATCAAATCCGTATCTTATCACTTGTGCAGTGAGTGCTCTAACCACTGAGCTACAGGTCCTCATCTCAAAGTAGCATCACAAAAAATGCACAAAAGTTTTCCATAGATTTCTATATTTAAGCGATTTGAAATTTGCACCGCCAGTTTTTAAAACTCAATTTAATGTTAAAGAAACCTTACATGATGTTTTCGATTAAAGTTAGACATTAAAACAGCAAACAAATCATTTTTTTTAAAGTTGTACACGCAACAGCCAATGTTCACCAAGAGAGGACAGAAAATGCCATTAAATGTGACCAACAAACCTATTATTACACACAATAACGGGTCCAAAGCACATTCATATGGGCACAGTGTCAAAGATTTGGTTCCTGTGAAATGAAATGTAGTGTTAGACTGAGATTCTGAATCTTCACAGAAATGTAGAAGGTTCCAAAAAAAAGTACAACATTTTAAATTTCTGCACAATACAGTATTATAACAATATGCTTAATATTTAACTGTTACTGGCACCCTGACATTTGCTGACCTCATGTGCTATATAAGTGTTAGAAAACAAGGTTACAAATGGATGATACATGCACCGATTTATACAACAGAATTTGGTTGCGATTTCCACAGAGGTTCAAACGCATTACAAACTTGTTAAAAGCATACGTGACAGCAATACATGGCCTGCCCCACCCCCACCCCCTCCTTTTATTCTAAAACAGTCAAATATGCACCAGTAACCGAAAAACCATGTTAATATCAACTATTATTAGTCAGGCCACTTATAATTTGAGGGAAAAAAAAGACCCTGGGAATTTCTCCTCCAGCCCCCAAAAAACTGATTATAAATTAGAATAATGTCCAATTATCTCAATTCCTTAGTTTTGTATTAAAAATCACTACTCTATTTCACTGTATCCATCTAAATACAGTTGTCCCTCTGTGCAACAGTCAAGATGCTTGTGATAGTGTGCAGTGCTAAGTATAACTCATCTTGTTAAAACAAAGAAACCATGTAAATGGCCCCACACAATTTTTCTATGGCTTCCAAAGAGTTACAACAAGGGGCTACTGTGTTTTCGATGGATGCTTATATACAAACCTATTTGACATAGAAAGACGATTTCAGCAGTCAGATAAATGGACCTGGTTCATTAAACTGCAGCGTTACTGAAACTTTCTTTGTAAATATACCACTGTTAGAATGTAAAAGTACTGAGTTAAGAAGTGCCTTGTACAATGCTGGTCTCATTGTATCCAAGTTTATACCGTGTTGCGGTTAAAAATCCAAGAGCACGTCAAGATTATCGGACTCGCATGGAAGTTCGAACGATCTATCAACGACAAGAGTACTGGAAGATTTTAAAGGTTACATCAATACTAAACATCCCATTGCAAAAATTCTTTCCACATCAACGGTAGAAAAGGTCATTTTCCACAGGTTATGGTAAAGGTTGTAAGAGGGTGGTGTTTTTTTTTTAATCCCTGTACAAAAATGTATTGCAAATATTTTGTGAACTTGTCTTTAAAGGAAGAAGACAGCGGCAAGTTATTGTACGAATGGACGAATGAGACAGTATTTGGTCTGCTCAGAAAGACTGCATGAAATGAAAAATATCTGTAAATTCCCTACAGATTTAGTAATGTTAAAAATGTATAAATATATAGCAGCTTTTTTTTCTTAAAAAGGGTTCCAGTTGTTGAAATACACGCCAACAATGTCATTTACAACAAGCCAACAAGTCAGATTACATGAAAGTGTGTTCTTTGGGAGGTCACAGGTTAAATTAATGCTTCGCCTCTCGCACTCACTACTTGAATATTAACTTTACAGAAAGAAGAAAACAAATTATAAACAGTGCACCCTGATCATTTGAACTCCTATTGATTGATACTTTAAAAAGGCAAAATAAAACCTCTGGAAAACAACAAAAAAAAAATGAAATGAGAGAAAACGAGTGTGTAAAAACAACAACAAAAGAAAAATATAAAACTGGTATTGCACAACTATGAAGCCCACAGGCAGAAACAGATTCAGACCTATTCGCTGGCCCTGAAAACTGATTATGTAGCAGGATCACTTCCAATACAAAAAAGATACAAATAGTCTTAAATTTCCTTTAGGCAGATGCAATATTCTCAGATCCAATGTTGTGTTTCTGTTGAATGACGAGGTAACAGCTTATGGCACGCATTCCTACTGAAAGTACTTAAGGCCAGCGACCAGAAAAAACTTCTCCAAAAAGATTTCGGAGTCCAGAACTGCGATGTGGGCAGCTCGTCCTATGAGGGAGTTTGCTGTGTTGGGCAAAGCGTGAATCACGTCATATCGGATCAGATTGCATTCCTTGTTCTCCAGCACAGGCAGCAGAAGGTTCTGGATCATCTCGGCGTACACTGGTCCTGCAAAATCACAAGGTGATCAAGTTTTACCTGGTGTCGGTTCATATCGGGCTTTTTGATAAAAGTAGAGCAGTACAGGAGAGGATTTAATGCCGTCGACTAAAGGTACGGTCAAAGTAAGTGGTTTCGTTTTTTGATGATAATAATCCTTGCTTTTGATATAACGCTTATCACTTTGTCGAGACGTCTTTACAGGATATACTTCACAGGATATACTGTAAAGTGGTTTGACTGTGTATTTTGTGGGCAAAACGCAACAGCCTATTTGAGCACAGCAGTGTCCCACAAATAGCCATGCAGTGAGTGACTAATTTTTATTTGGGGGATTGTTGGCCAGGACTCCAGGAGAAAGAAACTCACTTCTCTTTTCGAATATTGCCATGGGATCTTTAATATCCACCTGAACAGGCAGATGGGACCTCAGGTAAACATCTCATCCGAAGGACGGCACCTCCGACAATGCAATTCACCCCAAGCACTGCATTAGACTATGTGATTCCAAGTCCCGATGTGGGGCTTGAACCCACAACCTTCTGACTCAGAGGCGAGAGCGCTACCACTGTGCCAGACTAACACAAAAGTGGGAAAGTGGTGATAAAGTCAGTGTTGAACTGTATGAAGGCCCCAGGAATTGTTTGAACAACAACAACAACAAGATTCCATTTATAGAGCGCCTTTCACGTCAGGAGGACGTCCCAAGGCGCTGCACAGTTGGGTCATGACCCGAGCAGGGGGGAAATGGTCAGGGTGAGGGGAGGGAAGGGAGGGAGAGAGGAGGGGGAAATGGTCAGGGTGAGGGGAGGGAAGGGAGGGAGCGAGGAGGAGGAAGAGAGTCGAGAGGGGAGCTGAAGGCTCGGTCAAAGAGAAAGGTTTTGAGACCGGCCTTGAAGGAGGAAAGGGAGGAAGCGGCGAAGGCACTGGGGGATGGAGTTCCAGAGCCTCGGGGCTGAGAGGCTGAAGGCCCGACCACCGATAGTAGGGCGGTTGGGGCGGGGGACGTGGAGCAGACCGGAGCCAGAGGAACGGAGGGTACGGGCAGGTAGGTAGGGGGCTCCAGGAATTGGAATGCTTGAGCTAGATTAATAATAATATAATCCTTGCAGTAATTTAGTAATTTTCACGTTTTCTCGACATCTCAATGCGCTTCACAGAATAGACTCTAAAGTGAATTGACTGTATATTTGTGGGCGAACGCGGCAGCCAATTGCGCACAGCAATGTCCCACAAACAGTCGTAGATTGAAAATGACCAATTTATTATTGTTTTGTTTTGGAGGGATTATTATTAGGTGTGTGGAGTAAGGAAACTTGCCCAAGGTTTCGCCCTCTGCCTGGAACTGAACCCAGGTGTCTCGCTTGCAAAGCGAGTGCTCTAACCACTGAGCTACAGGACTCCACGATTAGCTATAAAATGTTTACTCTTACCTGACTGTTTGTCCTTTAAAGCAGTTTTGCACATCTCAATGCGAGCGGAGTGGTAGGGGACATAGCGGTCTTGTAAAGAGCCAACTAACACGATATTTTTGAAGTAATGAAGACCTTGAACACAAACACACAGATAAAGTCAAAATCCACACCCTCTCCAGGACCGATATCCACAAATGTCACCATGAAAGAAAGCAACTAAAAAATACAGAAAATCAATTGAGGGAGTAGTGTGAAATGTAAAGTGAATCTGCTGTGTATTTTACCACAAATTGAATATCTGCTTCAGAGTTTTCAACCCATCTCTTCTCCCCCCACTCCCTCCCCACCACATGCCTAGTCTTGCACTCAGTCTTCGTAAAGCATCTTCAGACGTCCTGCCCAACGTGAAGTGTGCTTATATAAATGAAGATTGTTGCTTTCAAGGCTCGTCTCAAGACCTTCCTCAGGTTCCCTCCTGCAACCAACTCTCTTGACTCCAACTCCCAGCTTGGGTGCAAACCCTTAACAGTCGACCGCCTTCTGGCACGAAAGGCTTCATGTAATGTAATTTCTTGTTGTTTTGATGTTTTTCACTCCAGACTATTTCTTCCATTGGAGGTCAGATTTCTGTCTTAACCATTGAATCCGGTGTCCTAAGCAAAATTAAAACCCGACACTCAGAAGCCCCTGAGAGTATAAGGACTACGAAATGCTTTGGAACGACAACTGGTTACGGTCTGGAATGCACAGCCTGAAAGGGAGATGGAAGTAGACTCGACAGTAGCTTTCAAAAGGGAATTAGATAGGCACTTGAAAAGGAAAAATTTGCAGGGCTATGGAGTAAGAGCAAGGGAGTGGAACTGGTTGGGTAGCTCTTTCAAAGAGCGGGCACAGGCACGATGGGCCGAATGGCCTCCTTCTGTGCTGTAAGATTCTATGATTCTAACTTGCATTTATATAGTTTCCTTCACACGGGGCAGTGTCTCGGGAGCTCTTAGGTGCTTAGACAAGTCACTGTAGGTTCTAGGGCTACCCACCTGCTTTTTTACTGAGTTTATAGAGAAAAGTCTGTCGCGGATCAGAGTGATCTCTGCACGTCAGCTGCAGCAAGGATCCAGACTTCTTCCATTTCTGCATAAACCAGAGACCTGGACAGGAAAGCGATATAAAAAAAAGTTTGAAAGGCAATAATCACACGGCAAGATACTCAGTCTTCATTACATCACTCAGACTTTATTTTTGGTCAGCCGGGTGTCTGACACACGTGGAGACTGATCATCACGTTTAAGAGTATCTGAACCAAATTACTCAAGAGTTCCACATATTTCTGCCACCTACACATAGAAAGTTCCCTGCAATCTCTCCTTGGAGGGATGCAGCCTTATTATGTAATTCCAGAGAGGATTAGGCATAGGTTGGTGATAGCCAAGACTTGGGGAGCCCAGACTGGGGTAACTGGATTGGAGTTTGACCAGTTAAAACTAGAGATTGGCAGTCAAAGCACTCTGTAGCTGGCTTCCCTTTGAACCACCCGAAAACTTATGGCTTTGGCTTGCAGGGTTAACAGGAGCCAAGTAGGAAAAATCCCCATTCCCATTCACATTAGACCCTTTGGGACGTCCTCCCTACTTCATTTGCTCGCACCTCCCTACCTATCCAACCTGCTTACCCCCCACTCCATCGCCCGCTGCCTCCGGCCTCCTGTTTGTCCCTTGTTCCCTCCGCTCCACCGTCTGGCTGTGCCTTCAGCCACTACGCCCCAAGACTCTGGAACTCTCTCCCTCGAACTCTCTGCTTTGCCCTCTCCCTCCCCAACTTCAACTCCCGCCTAAAGACCTTCTTTTTTGATCGTGCTTACGGTCACCTCCCCCCTTGGCTCCTTGTCAGACTCCGGCACTGTGAAGCGCTCTGGAACGCTACCCTGTGTGAAGGGTAGTGTATAAATGCAAGTTGTTGTTGTAGTACTTGTAAGCTGTACTTTTGCAAAATATCACATTTCAGCAATTCCAGCAGCACCTGTCTTTGGAGGGAACAGGAGGTTGGTGCACTGACAAAAAGAACCCAGGGTTAATTTGCTATTGGGAAGATCAGTTTCCTTTCGATCTTGCCGCCCGCCAGAATGTTAGAGAAGTGCCAACCGCCTCCTCTCGGACCCCAATAAATTCTTGTGGAAAGTTATTCCCTCGGGGAATGCAAAAGATAACTGAACATTGAAAAAAAGCAACTTGCATTTATACAGCGCTTCTCACGAAGGGCAGCGTCCCAGAGTGCTCGACAGTAGCGGAGCACAATGCCGAGCCGGGGGGAGGTGACCATAGACACAATCAAAGAGGAAGATCTTCGGGCGTGACCTAAACCCCTCCCCAACACACACACACACACATACACAAGCTAAGACAGTCATTTAATGCTGGGCCCAAACTTTTATGAGAAGCGAGTTCCTTTGGTGTCTCTTTAGCATCCCGATGACATTTTGAAGAGTCTCTTTATGATCATAGGCAGTTCTGTTAATTGAAAGCAAGTGCTGTATCTAATTTACTAATTTACTATCTCAGCAGCTCCATCATTGCCCTCGCCATCATTGTGGCTCAGAGCCTTGAATTTCTAATCAATAATCCTGAGCTTCTAATCTGCCACGGGTGAAAGGGCAGCCAGTGAACAGATATTTTCTCCCCTATTGTTAATATTATGAGATTTATTGGCTGAGACTTGGCTGTACTAATTGCTAGGGTGAAAATCTATTAAAAGCTACACCAGCTGTTCACCTTATATGCAATTGATCTGAATAACCTGAGTTCATTTCCAGGCAGAGGGCGAAACCTTGGGCAAGTTTCCTTACTCCACACGCCTAATAATAATCCCTCCAAAACCAAAAAANCAATAATAAATTGTTCATTTTCAATCTACGACTGTTGTGGGACATTGCTGTGCGCAACTGGCTGCCGCGTTTGCCCACATATATGCAGTCAATTCACTTTACAGTGTATTCTGTGAAGCGCTTTGGGACGTCCTCCCGACGTGAAAAGCGCTATATCAAATGCAAGGATTATTATTATTATTATTATAAAATAAGTGAGGTCTGTGTGCACAACATGTGAAGGGGCTGATTTCCAACAAGATGAAAATTTAGCTTGCCTTAAACGTTATGTTTACATGCTTATCCATTTAGCAAAAGAATGACTTATAAGGAAAATAGTATTACTAGGGGTCACTTCATTCAATTAATAAGGCACCGTTGTGAACATATTACTCTGAGAATTTTAATACTGTACAATACATTAGTGCATTTGATATTCTTACTACCTTTTGCCTGAATTTTTATTCTTCATTTCATGACACCCGATATTGCCACCTATAGTGAAAGGTCTGAAACTACATGCTTGTCATCAATGAAGCACAAGTCAGCATTTTTCTAGTAATAATAGTGGAGTCATGCACTTGCCTCGCAAGTGAGAGCACCCGGGTTTGATTCCCAAATGGGACAAAACCTAAGGCAAGTTTCCTTAGCTCCACGCACCTCTAGCAGTAAGAAGGAATCCGGCTGTTAGTCGATTGGCAGATCGCTTTTCTGGGGTAATAATTCCTCCAAAAAAAATAATAAATTGGTCCTTTCAATCCATGACTGTTTGTGGGACACTGCTGTGCGCAATTGGCTGCCACATTTCGTCCACAAAATACAGTCAATTCACTTTATTCTGTGAAGCGCTTTGAGATGTCTCAACAAAGTGATAAGGCCCTATATCAAATGTGAAGATTTTATTATTAGAATCCATTAGAAGGCAAGATGGATGTTTTGACGTTGTATGGAAGTCTATTAGTTTGTTTCTTCAAAAGACTTGGATGTTGGAGTGGTGTTCAGAATGTAAGAAGATCATCCACAAAATATACAGTCAATTCACTTTACACTATATCCTGTGAAGCACTTTGAGACATCTCGAAGATGTGATTAGGGCTATATCAAAGGATTATTATTATTATTAGAATATGTAGAATCTTTTTAACTGGGCCAACAAAGGCACTCCACACTTTAATTGAAATATCATACGTAACCTGTATAGTTCAGAGGTTTATACCAGGCAGCCCATGTGATGCCCACAGCTGCCTCACCAGCTGGTAAATGCATTAGGAGTCCAGTGAGAGTCTATTAGCGCACCTGCAGATATCTTTGACCCTCAGAAATCTTTATTATATTTTTCTGGCCCTTACATAAAGGCCACTTTGCTCCAATCCCCTGACTGGTTGCTGAAAACAGGTTAGATTGTATTAGGTATCCTGTATCTGCTTCCAATCCACATTGAAATGTGGAATCCTGTCACGCATTGTTTAGAGCACTCGCCTTGCAAGCAAGAGGACCCAGGTTCAATTCCCGGGCAGGCAGGGCAAAACTTTAGGCATGTTTCCTTACCCCCGGAAAGTGATCCGAGATGCCGTTCAGCGTGAAGTGTGCTATATAAATGCAAGTCGTCGTTGTTGTTTTATAACCTCGCCCTTAGGTCGCGTCTCCAGAAACTACGTTACATACGCACACTCTACATTACCTAAACTAGTTATTGTGTTTACCTGTGTTGACGAGAGCGCTGCTGTTGTACAACGTACCCAGATGAGGTCCAGACAACGAAAGGAAAGTGTGCAGCTTGTTCAGGTAAAATTTAAAGCGTTGCCTTGCAAGAACTGACCGAATGATTAAATTACCTAAAGAATGTCCTATGAAGCTGTTGGAGAAAAATAAATTGGATGAGATTAGAAAAATAGTAACAATCGAACAAGTGAATTTAAAGGCACAGATTTTTTAAACGGATGATCTGCTCCCAATCCCCATTGAAATGTGGAGTATTGGTTAGGGCAGTCGCCTCGCAAGCGAGAGGACCCGGGTTCCATTCCTGGACAGCGCAAAACATTAGGCAAGTTTCCTTACGGCTGGAAAGCGATCCAGCAATCGATTGACGACTGGGTTCCTACCTACTGCTAGGTAAACAGAGGCGTGTGGAGTAAGGAAACTTGCCTATGGTTTCGCCCTGCCCAGGAATCGAACCCGGGTCCTCTCGTTTGTGAGGTGAGTGCTCCAACTAATACGCAACAGGACTCCACAGTAACAACGAACACACGTACAAAGCGCCTCTGGACTATTACCTGATTTTAGAAATGGTGAGGTTGTAGATCTGAATGTACTGTATGATCTCATCCAAAAGACGATCGGTCATGGAATCAAAGTCTGCAAACGTGTCGTTCTAGAAAAAGAAAAATATAAACGTTTAAAATAATATAAAAACTTAATTTCAGATTTAAATGCGTGTGTAAGGGGGGGGAGGGAGGGGGAAGGGGCTGAATGAAATAGCCTTGATATAATATTGTGCTACAATGACTTCTCCATACATTATCCCCTCTATGCATATAGGAGATAAATCACAGGATATACTGTAAAGCAACAACAACAAATTACATTTGTATAGCGCCTTTCAACAATGTCCCACAAACAAAGTGCTGGGATTCCTACTGGGAATCAAACCCAGGGCCTCTCGCTTGCGAGGTGAGTGCTCTAACCACTAAGCTACAGGATCACAGAAGAACGCTTGATATGACTGCAAATATTGGACACCTGACTGAAAGCCAATGGGGTAAAGTTTAGTGTTTATTATTTAATGGGCCGGGTAAGTAATTGCCGCCCAGAAATTTCATAAAAGGTTTGGAGCACAGAAGGAGTCCATTTCACCCATCCCGTCTGTCCTGGCTCTTGATCCCCAAATGAAGCTATCCCACTTTTCTGTTCTTTCTGAACACCCTTTAATATTGTTCAATAATAATTTGGTCACTCAATCCACGACTGTTTGTGGGCCACTGCTGTGCACAATTGGCTGCTCTGTTTTCTCCACAAAATATAGTCAATCCACTTTACAGTATATTCTGTGAGGCACTTTGAGATGTCTCAACAACGTGATAAGGTGCTGTATCATATGCAAGAATTATTATTATTTTAAGTCATGTATTTATCCATTTCCCTTTATGCTTTTATGTAGTTGGTTTCAACTGCTATATATTCTAACCATTCCATATTCTAACACTCTGTGTAAAAATACTTCTAACCTCCTTTTCCTTCTGATAATTATCTTCAATTTATGCTCTTTACTTGTTACTCAGTGACCGTTAAGTAGAAATAATCTAGTTAATCTATGAAAACTATCTTTTTGAAAACCTCTAATCGATTCCCCTTTAACCTTCTCCACTAACCACAAAAATTGAGACCAATAACAGTCATATTTTCTCCACATAATATTAACCCCTCATTTCTGATATGTAATCATCACATCATTTATAAACTGACAGTCATTTAAACAAAGGCTTTCAGCATCTAATTCGACTTAAAAGACTTTCACATCTTGTAGAATTAGAAATTATAATAGTAATCTTGCATTTGATATAGCGCTTTCCACGTCTTCTAGACGTCTCAAAGCGCTTCACAGAATATACTGTAAAGTGAATTGACCGTATATTTGTGGGCGAAACGCGGCAGCCAATTGCGCACAGCAGTGCCCCACAAACAATCGTGAATTGAAAATGACCAATTTATTATTTTTTTTGTATTTTGGAGGGATTATTATTAGGTGTGTGGAGTAAGGAAACTTGCCCAAGGTTTCGCTCTGCCTAGAATTGAACCCAGGTGTCTCGCTTGCAAGGCGAGTGCTCTAACCACTGAGCTACAGGACTCCACCAGAAGGTGATGGGCACAGAAGTGTCTGATGGTCTGGCTTAGTGCTTAGTGGTGGCGTTTGTGGGGGCAATTTGAGGTGATGAATAAAAAGGATTAAACAACTCATACAACTTTAATGAAAACTTCTTAATGGGATTTGCTTTCCCTGTGCTGCAGTGGTAAACATGTTAACAACAACAAATTACATTTACACAGCGCCTTTCACGTCGGGAGCAAATCCCAAGATGCCGGACAGTTAGGGATATTGGACACGAGGTGGGGTTTGGGATCAGGAGGGGTGAAGAGCAGGGAGGATAGGGGTAGGAGGGAGGCCGAAGGCGCGGTCGAAGAAGGGCCTTGAAAAAGGTAAGGGAGGGAGCCAGGCGTAGTGACTGTGGGATGGAGTTCCAAAGTGTGGGGGCAGAAAGGCTGAAGGCCCGACCAATGGTGGGACGGGCTGGGTGGGGGACATGGAGCAGTCCGGAGCCTGCTGAGCAGAGGAATGTTAAATAACTTTAGTAACTTTTGGCTGTGAATTTCAAAATAAAGTCCCACTAAACAAAACTAATTTGATCCTGCTCTTAGCCAGGGGAGCCCTGTAGAAAGTACAGCTGACACTCACTTACTCTTCTGAGTTTCTCACCCACGCGGAAAGATTCGGTGAAATACAGAGACATCTTTGTTGTTGACACCTACAGCTTTTTGAAACTTGATAATATTAACTTGATCGAAGATTCAATGTTCAAACACCAAAGTCTGTTTCAAACACACGACTGTTTGTGGGACACTGCTGTGTGCAATTGGCTGCCGTCTTTCACGCACAAAATATACAGTCAATTCAGTAGGTTCTGTAAAGCGCTTTGAGACGTCTCAATGCAAGGAATATTATTATTAAGTTAAAAATGAACAACAAGCTTTTGCCCTGATGATTCCTCGATAGGACTTACCTGATTTCGCTCGGACATGAGGAAATCGATTTGTACTCCTGGTAATCCCAGTTCAATGTAGGTTTTAACCAAGCGAAGATCTGCACTGTTACCTAAAATCAGGAAGGAGAAAATGTGACTGTTCTCTCCAATAACAACATTTTTTAAGAAGCCCAGAATTTATTCCAAGTTCTTTTCCAGATATCTAATGCTAACTCTTTCTGCATGATTGTTACTTGGTTCTGGGAAGTTTAGACTACACAAAACAACTTGCAAGTATATGGTTGTTGTTGTTGCCTTTCATGCATCTTGGGGCAATTAACAGTGACAGAACTTGACGCTGAGCCGGGGAGAGAGGAGAGGTCACCGTTGGCACAGTCAAATAACAAGGTCTTCAGATGCGCAGGGAACAGGCAAGGCAGAGGGAATAAGGCAGAAGGTTCCAGACTTTTGGGGCAGTTACTGAAAGCATGGCTGCCAATGGTGCCATGTAGTATTCCAAGGCTTTGCTGCAAGACGAGGCGGGGTCCTAGCTGGACAAGTGGTGGGAATCTCGCTAGACAGTGCTCACACTGAGTTGTGTGTTTAGCTGGTTAAACTCCAGAGGCTCTGCTCACCCTCATAACAATCTCCTACTGAAGACAAAAACAAAGGCTGATTTCATGCTGTTTTGGAGTTCTGATGGGCTGTGCAATTCCCCATGTGGCAAGATGTGAAATCACAGCTGTGTTGCCAAGGGAGGGAAATCCTGAGCAGTAACCCAACGCTTCCATGACACATGAGGAAAAAGCAGCGTCAGTATCTCAGGAAGCTCTCTACATAGCTGCTGATATTTAATCTTGGGGTGGGAACGACCCGCTGAGCGGTGGGAGCGCACAGGAGTTAGGAGGTCACAGAGGTATGGAGGAGCAAAGTCGTGGAGGGCTTTGAAGGCGAGGACGAGGATTTTGAATTCTATATCTGGAGGATAGGGAGCCAGTGGAGCCGGGGCGAAGATAGGAATGAGAGCTTCACAAAGTCTGGTGCAGGAGATGACACGAGCTGCAGAGTTCTGAATAATGGAGAACAAACAAAATCACGTCCTAGAGGCCAGTGTCGAACGCCACCTTTATCCTGTGCAAGGCACAGTTACAGTTTGGTAAGCAGTGCATGTTGGCTATTGCAATTGAGAACAGGACTCCCATTCTGGATTTGTTCCCAAATCTTCATGGAAAGTGGAATGCACAGCCCAAAGGCACGTACGGGCAAAATCAATCAATTGGGCTTCATAAAAAGGAGCTAAGAAAGACAGGAAATAAGGGTGTTCAGGGAGTATGGGGAATAAACAAGAAAAATGATTCAGGATCTGCCATGAAATAATAAATTGGAAACAGGCTGAATTATCACCTGTTTTGATGAAAATAAATTACAATGTGAAAAACTCTGAAGCGATTCTTCAAGGATTCTACACCTCGGTAAATGTTTGTACACCACATAAAAATAACATCCGCCGGCTTTGGATAGAGATTTCAAAGTACAACATTTTAAGTTTCGAAAAAGTCTTTCACATCAGGAGGGTGTCTCCAAGCATCTTTAGACAACTGACCAGGAACCAAGCTCATCTGGGGTGGGGGAGGGAAAGAGAAGGAAGGTAACTGGAAGCATGGTCAGAAAGATCAGTTTTAGACAGGCTTTAATGATGTGGAGAGACGGAGGGACTCCAAGATGGAGTTCCAGACAGTACGCAGGAAAACATTCATGCAGGTTTAGTCCATTTTTAATTTTATCACTATAGTTTATTTTACAAATGAACCTACCATCCAATCCATGGACACAGACTATTAAATGGATGCCCTCTTCCAGATTCTCATCTTCCTCCATGCTGAAGTAGGGGATCGTGGAGGCCAAATCGGACACGTCACTGTACATAAAACCAGGAAACTTCAGCTGCTTCAACTCTTCTTTGGCCTGAAGAAAACTACAGTCAGAACAAGTCCATTAATTTTAGGCACTGAGGCAGTGAGTCAGAACACCTACTTTTGTAGCAATAATAATAACGATGGTTCATCACTTACACAATTGGCAGAGCCTTCCTCAAGGCTTCAAGGTCAACCATATACACTACAAAAGCTGCCCACAAATAATGGCAACACCATTAATAAATATTGATAAAATATTTTTGGGTGTGTGGCACTGTACACTCAGAAGACTTCAGCCAAAATTGCTTTAATGTTGTACAATGTTGCTGTGGAATCCTGTAGGGTAGTGGTTAGTGCACTCGTCTTGCAAGATAGAGGACCCGGGTTTGATTCCCAGGCCGGGCAAAACCTTAGGCAATTTTGCTTAATACAGATGCCTCTATTTATCGAGCAGTAATCATAACCCATTAGTAGATTGGTGAATCGCTTTCTGGGGATAATAATCCCTCAGGAAAAGAAATTGGTCATTCAATCCACAACTACTTGTTGGACACTGCTTGTGAACAATCAGCTACCGAGTTTCGCCTAGAAAATGCACAGTCACTTTATATTCTGTGAAGTGCTTTGAGACGTCTCCATGACAAGGCGCTATATCAAATGGAAGGATTATCATTTTTATGAAAATGTTATTTACGGGGACATAGCGTGATAGTCACCAGCTTCTTTTCAGATTCCTAAGCTGGTCTTTAACTGAGAGACTGGAGAAAGCAGATCAACAGAGCACTGAAGGGGAGGGAAAGTACAATTTTGGGCCAAGGTAATCATGTAACCTCCTACTTGTCCTACATTCTCTCTGCTCCACCACCGGTGGCCGGCCTTTCGGCCACTATGTCCCGAAACATTGCCTCTTATTCCTCTGCCTTGCCCTCTTTTAGATCACGCCTGAAGACTTTCCTCTTCGACAGTGATTATGGTCACCTCATCCCTTCCCCCGGCTCGGGGTCAGGCACCGCCAGTGTTTTTTGCAAGAACGCTTTTAGCGTTCAATCCCCTCTCCTTGGATTTTGAGAACCCTTTGTGAGGAATTAAAGGAAAATAAATATATTCACTGAAATGTTTCTCATGATGACATTATGCTCACACTTCATCCAAACTTTTCTTCAATGTTATACAATGTTATTTAATAAGGATTGGTGTGGTTTAACTCCTGATCTGTCCTGTATTTTTTCTCTGTAATTTGAGAAGATAAATGGCAACAGGTCAATATCTTAGCACTAAGCTTTATCTCTCATAGCATCACCTGAGTTTGGTTTAGCTGGAAGCACTCTTGCCTCTGGGTCGAAGGCTGTGAGCTTGAGCCCCACATCAGGTTAGCACAGTCTACTCGGTAACACAATCACAACAACAAAATTAGATTTGTATAGCGCCTTTCACGTCAGGAGGACATCCTAACACTAAAGAAGAATTACTAACACTGTAATTGGGGGAACACTGTCAAAGGTGCCATTACATTGAGGCTGTGTCGCCTATTCAGGTGGATGTTAAAGATCCCAGGGAGCTATTCGAAAAGAGAAGGGAGTTTCTCTCTCTCAGTGTCCTGGCCAACAATCCCCCAAATAAATACTCTAAATTTCAATACTCTAAATGCATGGTGATTGTTTTGTGTGTGTGTGTGTGTGTGTATGTGTGTGTCAGACCAATACAATGTTTTGTGTGTGTGTGTCAGACCAATGGCAATTAACTCCACATATTCACCCTCATCATGTAGTGATTTACACTGCATTTGCTGCCCTCTTCCTGTATTTGTGTACGAAAAGAAACATGTAGCTCATACTATACCGAATTTATTTACTGTCACCTATTTTGATCCAGTTAAATCTTGTAACCACAAATTACTTACAAGTCCTTACTTTGGAGTAGTTCTTTGAGATTAGTAAGATGGATACGAGGGGAATTTTGTGATCGGCGGGGGGGAGGTGAAAAGAAATGTTAATAAGAAATGGTGACACTTTAAAATCTATAATTCTGAAACGCTATATATGAAATTACTTCAGATTGGGTGGCTTCAAATGATTCGGTAATAATTTTCAGGATGAAATGTTTAAACATGGAACATTTCCTTCAGCTAGGGTATGGGGTTACACATTACATCTCCCTAACCATTTGCCTAAGTGGAAGAATAATGCATGTAAATACAAATTTTCTTTCTAGAGAAAAGTTAGTAAATCCAACATGGAAGTGTTTTGTGGCTGTTTTAAGCATTTCTCAAATTCAGAATTCGACCCATATAGGGAACTGCAGAAGAAATCAAGCTGAACAAAATAATTATTGTTCTGCAAGTCGACTAAAATTACAAGAATAACTGGATTATTAAAAAAAATTAGACCGCCTCTGAAAACAAAGATTGTATAAAAACACAGACTGAAATACTTTAATTTTAAAAATTAGAAGTTTTTGCGGCAAAAAGTTACTTCAATTCCATTTCCCACCTGAATTGTGTACGGTGGAGCTTAAAGCAACTCGCATACAGTGGCATATTCGCACACCTGCTTTATGGACAGGAGTTTGCAACCATTATTATTACTCATAGTGAGCAACCAGTTTCAACCATGCTGCCACAGAGAGACAACAAGCACACGTCCTGCACGTTCCCTTTGGGGAGGGCAAAAATATAACCAGTAAAGAACTTGTAACTGACCTATTGACATAGGTAATACAAGCAAAATGTTTTAAGACATTGGTGGGTCTCGGTCATTTATGGTGGATCTGGTATATGGAGTACAGTTAAAAGTAGGGGATTATTAAGTGTCAATAAAAAAACATAAGAGTGCCAGTTGCGTTAACCTGCATGGAACTATACACCATGATATAATAATAATAACCCTTGCATTTGATATAGCGCTTTTCATGTCTTCTCGACGTCTCAAAGCGCTTCACAGAATATGCTGTAAAGTGAATTCACCGTGTATTTGTGGGCAAACAGCGGCAGCCAATTACGCACAGCAGTGTCCCACAAACAGTTATGGATCGAAAATAAACAATTTGTTTTGTTTTGGAGGGATTATTATTAGGTGTGGAGTAAGGAAACTTGCCCAAGGTTTCGCCCTCTGCCTGGAATTGAACCCAGGTGTCTCGCTTGCAAGGCGAGTGCTCTAACCACTGAGCTACAGGACTCCTTGAAATAATCTTGAAATACAGCAGAGATAATGCATTTAAACTTATTATTTTCCTCTTTTAGGTGGACCTGGCATATGGGAAGTGACTGGATAATAATAATCCTTGCATTTGATATAGCGCCTTATCATGTCATTGAGACGACTCAAAGCGCTTCACAGAATATACTGTAAAGTCAATTGACTGTATATTTTGTGGGCGACACAAAATGGATGATGGGCAAAATACTGAACTTTGTCCCAAACTGCAGGAGGATAACGAAGGGTTAAGTTGCACATGAAGAAAACAACACACACACAAAACTACAGGCTCCGTACACTGTAAACAATTAGTGTTTTTTTTTAAGCAAAGTCCCATTTGCACTTCACCAGTTGTGGGCAAAGCCACAATACTTACATCTGCATTTGTCCCTTTGGGGCAGCGTCATCGTACCAGGAGATTGGTGCAGTGGAGCTGAATACAGCACTGCTGGGTTGCTTTGTGATGGCATCGAGGTTGGCTGCAGAGGCAAGGCCGCTACTGGATGGCGAATTCTTCGCAACTGATGAAAATGATAAACAGCTGGGAGTGCAAGCCACCGGCAGGCTCGCTCCTTCCTTAGTGCGGTCGCCACTGATCATCTCCAGTTGCACCGTGTGGACATCATTGTAGGCAGCCTCGTCCTCTTCATAATAGCCGTTCTCTATCATCTCCGTCTCCTCCTCGTCGTCCTCCTCCTGGGCAAGAGCAACAGCGAGGGTGACAGGCTCGTTTTGGGGGCTGGTGGACAAGCTGCCCGTACCACCCCCTCCGGGACTGATGTCAGAAAGGTCTGTGTTGCTTCTCGATCCAAAGTAGTTCTCCACCAATCCTTGTTTGACTATGTCGGTGCTGCTGGCAGCTGACAGGCTTGTAATCGCTGTGTCATCTCCTTCGGGCAGTGGCAGTACCTCCTGTAGCTGACGTACACCCACAAGTTCCTTTGGACATGATTCTGAACCCTCGCCAGGGTTGTAGTGTGTGTTAACCTGCCCTGAATCTGAAGTTGACGAGCTTGTCTCATTGAGATGGATCGCTTCAGAGTTCAGTTGAATTACATGTTTATCGGTCGATTTTTCTAAACTGAGAACTTCACTGGAGTCTTGAACCTCCGCGACAATGACTGAAACATTGTCTTCCTGTAGATGGCTGCAGTTGGCTTCTTGTTTAACTGCAGAGTCAGTGTCACTATGGAAGTCTTGCCCTGATATTGCACCAATTGTAGTAGAGTTTACAGTCCCTGCATTATCTCCAAACATCACACTTTCTCTTTGTACTATTACACTGGCTGTATTAACTGTGCCGGTTTTTAGCTGATCTAAAGGAAGTTCGGGCTGTTGTTCGCTAGGTTGTTGTGCCACTATAGCAGCAACCTTCAAGCATTTGTCAACCGGCTGCTCCTCATCGTCTGAAGGCAGGGAGTTTATAGACGTTAATGATGACTGTATTTCACTCACGGCACTTGTGCTCTCTGTACAGTGGCCGTCCATCACAATCTTCAAGCTCGACTCCGGTTTTAGCAGCAGCTGCGAGCAAAGCTTTTCACTGAGGAGAGGGCCTTTCTCTGATTCGGGCTCAGCCCCCAAGTCTACGTCGGTTTGAAAAGCAAATGAACTAGGTTCACTCTCGATCCCCGAGTCTGAAACTCTGGACGAACAAGTGACGCAAACGTCAGGCAGTTTAATGGTATCTCCACTTATCACCAAATTCACCCCTTTCGAACACGCTGTTGGATGTGCAGGCTCACATGTAGTGGGGTGTTGAACAGTCATATTGTGTAGTGTAACTTTTTCCAAAGGTGTAGAATAGATTCCAGAATCCAAATGCTGTGCTTCAGGAGACTGATGACTGTCCTGAGGTGCTCCATCTTTAGCGGGAGCTTTGGAGGCCATAATTACGGTTACTTTTTCCCCTTCATAAAGGTCTTTACTTCTTGGTTGAACTTCAATATGTTTGACTCCCGATACTGGTGTCGTTTGTTGGCTACTGAAACCATCAGACGAACATTCAGCAGGACCTATGCAATCAGCCAGAGTTCCAGTGCCTGCCTGGAACAGACCAAACGACACGTTTATAGGACATTCTACATTTTCCATATCAACGATGCCATCAAATTCCTCAAGACATTTAGCTCTTGTGGACTCTAAGTTTTTTTCTGTACTTGACAGTAGAGGTATGAGTTCTTTATTCTGACTTGACTGCCGAGAGATGACCTTTGATCGAGTCTCAGCTCCTGAGTTGGTGGGGACCTGCCCATCGTCAGGACACATCGAAGGTCCGCATTCTGCATAATTACTCACGTCTCCCAAGCTTATATTTTTCAAGCACTTGTAACCCACCAAAATCACGGAGTCCTTTGAGGTCTGCTTCACCAGTTTTTTGCAGTTCTCAGGCTTCATGGTTTTCTTGACTTTGGTCACCTTGACTTTGGATCTGTTGTGTTCTTCAGCCTTCGCTTTGTGCTGTTTCGCCTGCTGCTTCTCACTCTCACTCTGCTTAATGCTGGAGACGTTAGGAGGTCTACTTTTCAAATCAGGGCTGGACAAGCCTAGCACGCTACTTTCTCTTGAGTCAGACTTCTCCGCTTTGGTAGAAATGGACGATCTTCTTACATTCTGAACACCACTCCAGGGAACATCCAAGTCTTTTGAAGAAACAAACTATCAGACTTGCATACAATGTCAAAGCATCCATGTTGCCTTCCAATGGATTATAATAACAAAAATCTTCACATTTAATATAGGGCCTTATCACGTTGTTGAAACGTCTCAAAGTGCTTCACAGAATAAACTGTAAAGTGAATTGACTGTGTAATTTGTAGGTGAAATGCAGCAGCCAATTGCGGACAGCAGTGTACCCCAAACAGTCGTGGATTGGGTGACCAAATGATTTTATCTATTTATTTATTTTGGAGAGATTATTATCCCCAGAAAGCAATCCGCGAATCAACTAACATCCAAGTTTCTACTTACAGTCAATTCACTTTACAGTATATTCTGTGAAGCGCTTTGAGACGTCTAGAAGACGTGGAAGGCGCTACATCAAACGCAAGGATTATTATTATTGTGATTACTGCTAGGTAAACAAAGGAGTAGAACCCAGGTCCTCTCACTTGTGAGGTGAGCATGCTAACCTCTACGTTACAGGACTCCACAAATGTAGTACACAATGTGCACTGTTTGAGTCCCTTAGTGTGCATGGAAAATAATCCCTGTGATACCCCCCAAATTCCTAGGATAAACTAGATGCTGCAGTTCAGAAGGTAGTAAATCTCTTGGGTTGTTCTACTGGCTAAAAACATTGAGCTTCTCCAGTGACCTTTTGGGAATTATGGATTATCCAAAAAGAACAAAGGAATATTTACACACATATGGTTATTTGGACCCTATCAGATATAGTGGCTCAAGCACAAGTGAGCCTTAAAATAAAGGGAATTGGACAAATATTTGAAAAATAAAACCACGAAATGGTATCAGGGCAGGGTAGTTAAATGGAGAGCTCTATCAGTCAGTCAGTCAGACAGAGAGAGAGAGAGAGAGAGAGACAGACATTACAGGCCAAATGGCATCCGTCTGTCCTGTAAACGGTCTGAAACGTTGATTGTCCAGCGCCTTGGGACGTCCTCCCGACATGAAAGGCGCTATACAAATGTAATTTTGTTGTTGTTGTAAACGTTATAATTCTCTGCCAACCCCAAAGTCACTTGGTAAGACATCAATCCTTGTTTATCTTCTAAATTTTCCCAAAAGCTTACGAATCTCACTCAAGTAAAAGTCAATGTCCTGCCATCTGAAATCAAATAGATTAGAGATATAAGTTGATCAACCCGTCGTGCAAGTGTACTCTTTACCTTCCAGTACAGAATCCAGGTATCTGTCTTCAAAGATGATGGGCAGTGAGTTGACGTCTCCATCCAATTCAGCACATTCCACGGGGAGAGGTGGAAGGATATTGAAATAGGCAGAATTCTTCAAAGCTGCAGCCATCTGTCCGTGACTTTGTGCACTGAAATGGAACAGTCCATGGTGGAATCGCATGATATTGGCACCAAGCTTACTCCACTGGATACATTACTGAAATTATTTTATTTTGCTCAGATGACTATAAGCAACTTAACTTCTCTATAGTATGCAACTACTACATTCTCAGTCTCTAGTGTTCCTTATTCTCCATAGAAAGGGCAACTGAACACCAGCAGGGAAATTTCAGAGTGCCCCCGGGAATGGTTCCCAGGAAAATGGCTTGCGATATTTTTTAAAAAGACATAGACAGTGGGTGACTAAGGCTAGTGTCTGTGCGTTGTTTTATGCTTAGTGCCCCTACGAATGGGCCCCTCCCTTTTTCGGTCTGCTACTGAACACCAGTGTTAAACTAGCCCAGAGTGAGTTATCAGCCATTGATACTACAAGTCGTGAAGAGAGTTATTCGAAAACAGAAACTGTAACACTGAACTTTGGGGGTATTTCTCACTCGCTCTCTACTCCGTGCTGGGCATCACTTACTGCAGTTCCTGATACGCCAGAGCGGCTTGCCTCGGATGTTCCATGCAAAAAAAAGCTTCTGAAAATCTTCTTACCTATTGGAACAGAACACAAGAGCTTGCTTTCTCCAGGGCACTGATCAGAATGGATTCTGTGCAAACGTATTTATTGAAAACGACAATAACTCAATGGATTTCTGGAAACAACATGAACTTGTGCAGCACCTTTCATGGAAGATAAATGTCTCCATTTTAAAAAAAAATTGACAGGAATTGCTGAATAGAAAGGGTGGGGGTGGGAGGCTGACCCTGGGGGAGTTTTGACCAAATGCATGACCAAAAAAGAAAGATTTTGTAGTAGGTTTGAAAGCAGGGAGACAAGGCACTATGTGAAGGGGTTGCGAAATAATTCTGGAATCAACCTTCTGTGACCATCTCGGTCAACTGGTTCCTGAGCCAGGATGGTCCACAGTCCCAGCTCGGGTGCAAACCCTTGACTGTCCAGTGTCTTGGGACATCTTCACAAAGTGATAGGAGCTATATAAATGTAATGTGTCGTCGTTGTTTGAGCTACTTGTAATGTACTTAAATATGTAATTATCCAATTATTAATAAATATTGCATATGTCCTGTATTGTACATTTAAAGTCCTCTGCTTTTAATAGTAGATACCGTTCACCCTATAAATGTTTTCCGGTGTAAATAAGATTCAATACTCACTCGAAGTGTATGGTGTTCCTTTGCTAACAGGGCAATAATTTCTCCTTGCAGCGACACGATCTCTATGAACTGAGCCCAGAGAGCCATCAGCAGAGAGCAAAGCTGAGCCAGATCCATGTTCACAAGCTCCGCCAGCTCATCAGGGGTTTCCACTCTCAGCTGTAAATTGGGACATCAAGATTGTGCAGGTTAACACATGTGCTAATAATTATAATAATCCTTGCATTTGATATTACACGGTCGAGACGTCTCAAAGCAGATTCACAGAATATAATGCAAATTGGATTGACTGTGTATTTTGTGGGCAAAACGCAGCAGCCAATTGCACACAGCAGCGTCCCACAAACAGTCGTGGATTGAGTGACCAAATTGTTTTTTTGACGGATTATTGTTCCCGGAAAGCAATCCGCCAATTGACTAACAATTGGGTTCCTACTTACTGTTAGGTAAACAGTGACGTGTGGAGTAAGAAAACTTGCCTAAGGTTTTGCCCTGACCGGGAATCAAACCCGGGTCCTCTCGCTTGCGAGGCGAGCGCTCCAACCACTATGCTACGAGAATCCTTAAAAATGTCACCACAATAAATCTGTTTTTCAGGATGAAGGACATCCCAAAACATTAAAGGGCTCTTTCCTCCTCACAGTTCCATCTACTGAGAAATTGTATTTCTTTCTCCATATTCTCCAACATACAATGGCACAATTGTTGCATTGGGGACGAACTCCTCATTTCGTTTTTAAATTTGAGTTATTTCTTTATTATTCCCTCCCCAAGTTACTTCATATATAAAAAAAGAAAAAAAAAAGTGGAAAGGGTAGGAGGGTAAGAACATAAGAATTTTCTAGGCAAAAGAAGAACAAGGTCCATCCAGTTCACCTTCCACCATTCTAGGGGTCGCTTGACATGTCATGTCCCAAACTATACGTTGTATCCCGAGATATTATTTTCCAACAGAAATCTATCTAATTTATTCTTGAAGGATGAAGAGACATTTTTCAATGAGTTTCTCTCCGCCACACTGAATGTGAATTTAGCATTGGACAACTGTAACTGAGTCGTCCTGGGGGCATTTGATCAGCTAATATGTCACAATTATGTACCAGGCAGGGAGCATTTTATTCAGACAATTTGATTTTGGAGTCACGTATTTCCCTCTAGGTGGAGACGTAGAGCAACTATGTCATACTAACTTGTGGATGAGACTTGACCGAGTACCTTTGAACTCATACCGGTCACTCAATACAAGTTTTCTGATTAATTAACCCAACAATTTAATCACTCAATCCCACGACTGTTTGAGGGCCGCTGCTGTGAACAATTGGCTGTCGCGTTTCGCCCACAAAATATACAGTCAATTCACTTTACAGCATATTCTGTGAAGTGCTTTGAGACGTCTCGAAGATATAAGTCGCTATATCAAACGTAAGGATTATTATATCTTAAATTTCTGAAATGCTCAAATCCATTTGTTTGGATTTAGCTGAAACAAGCAGTTTTATGCAATGAATGCTTTATATAAAATCTTTCTCACACCATATGCAGTACAAGCCTCTTGTTGAGATCTGCATAGGTTCATTACCTGAACTAACTCGCGTGCATCGGCATCAGTCATAATTCACCTTCAATGGTTGAAGTTTCATCAAATATTAGCGCATCGCAGAAAATATCAATCTTGAATTTCATGAAGAGCCGAGATAAAAGTTTCTATTCTATTATACGCCATTAATAAACACGTATTATGTGCCATGGGTTAACTATGTGGAAAAATGGGTATATTGATAAAATTACAAGTGCAGTGAATTATATAATGAACTCATGCAAATGGTTCGTCTAAACTTTCAACTAATCGTTTACAAATGGTACATAACATGCCCCATTGAAAATGATTGAGTGTGTGTGTGGGGGGCAGTGGGGAAAGAGAGAGAGAGAGAGAAAATGAAGTGCATGAACAGCGAGGATGTAAAATACCAGTAATCTTCCTATCTTGGGACTATTGGGGGGGCGGTGTTGGAATGATAAATGGGAGGTAAGCAGTGTATTCTTGGAGTTCAGCTGACTCCAAGGTGACACACGGCAATGGAGTATCAGAAAATCAGACTTGACAGGCTGTCTCGTTCGCAGTACTTGAGGGGGCAGAACAGCCACTGTGGGGTGGAGATTTTTCTCATTCAGCTCCTGTTAATCCTGCAAGCCATAGCCCTAACTTTGTTTTAAGGGGTTGTGCGAGCTGGACAAGCAGTGGGAAACTTGCCAGACAGTGCTCGACAAGGCAAACTGTGCGGTTTTAGCTGGTTATACTCCAGCACTTATCCCAGACCACACTCTTCGAGATCGCCAAAGCCTATCTCCTGCCAACCCGTGCCAATTCCATTCTGGAATTAAATGAGCAGGATGCGTCTCTCCAGAGAGAGAGTGCACTCTCCATTCCAGACAAATGGATAATTTCCATGCATAGCTGCCGTTCACATGTGAAACTGTCTGGTCTCGATAATCTTAAACAAGGCCAAACAGTGGGTGCCCACATGTTTCAGCAAACCAAAAATAAAAATATACTATACAGTATATAATTAACAGTGGCATAATAAAAAATAACCCTTGCATCACGTCTTTGAGACATCTCAAAGTGCTTCACAGAATATATTGTAAAGTGAATTGACTGTATTTTGTGGGCGAAACGCGGGAGCCAATTACGCACAGCAATGTCCCACAAACAGTCATGGATTGAGTGACCAAATTATTATTACTGAATGTACACATTGCCATATTCAACAAGAACCTGATAGAACAGCACATCAGCATCAGAGTACACATCGCTCCCAAACAGTGACCCCTAGAGTTATATATAAATTCAGCAATTAAATTAAATTGCTAAATTACTTTAAAGCTCCCAAAACAGGATAGATGCTAATCTACACTGACGGACTTAAAGTATAAATCAATGAAGTGACTCTCTTCTAGTTCAGAGAAGGAGGCTGCTGGGTGACCAATACAACATAAAATGTCTACACAGAGGTAGAACAAAATGAAAAAAAGAGGAATGAGCTTGTATTCCAAGAATTACTTGGAATATAAACGTCCCAGGACTCTACCCTACGTGAAGGTCACTATAAAATGCAAGTTGTTGTTGCTGTCCTCCTTCTCCCCCTGTAACGTTAAGGTATAGCAGTGAGCAGTTTTAACAGCAGTGAGCGGTTTTAGTAGCATGAAATCACTGGAATGCAGTTCTAATTGGTTTTGCAGCCAGAAATATTAGAAAACTGCAGGCAGCCTCAGCTGCTGTTCTGCCATCCATTAGCAAACGACTGAAGGATCTGGCTGATCACTTTGTCAAATTAATATCTCAAGTTATTTTTAGATGCACACTGGGCCATTCGTGGGTTTTTTCCGAAAACCACGGTCTGGCATATCACCATAATATTCATTGCCATATGGGGATGCTGATCAATAATAATAATAATCCTTGCATTTGATATAGTGTCTCATCACGTCTATAAGACATCTCGGAGTGCTTCACAGAATATACTGTAAAGTGAATTGACTGTATATTTTGTGGGCAAAATATAGTCAAATCAAGTTTTGCAGCTGTCTCCCTGTGAGTGAGTGTGTGTGTGTGTGTGTGTGTGTGTCTGTGGTAGCGTGAAGGGGGAAATCATTGACATGACATTTATAACTGAAAAATGGTGGTGTTGGGTGGGGCGGGAGGAGGTGGGAATAGAATTCATAGTACTAAGAAACCTCAGGGAGAACCAGCACTGGGGAATGACAGGCGAGCATTGATAATCCCACCTCCGGGGAATAGAAGAATGGAGAAATTGAGAAGTGTCAGTTTCAGTGCTGGTCAGTGCACTTTAGCCTCTGTACCTATTCATGGAAAATTACTCATGGGGGAAGATATTATTGGAACACGCCTAAAATGTGTGTGAACCCAACTATCTTCACAGTTCAATGCTATCAATGTCAAGCTATGCAGGTTTAGCTGGTTAGACTCGAGGAGTTACCCCAACGCACACTCTGGGGTCCCCAAGCCTTGGCTCTTGATAACCTGCACCTAATACTTTCCGGAATTAGGTAAACAGGATGTGTCCTCTAGGGTCCGCAATCGAGTCCGCATTCGATTTCCAACAATTTATCTCTGGAATCTCAATGTGTAAGTGAGATGCATGGAATTCTCAGTTTGCTTTGGATATTCTTAACCATGGTGATGGGTTTCCGCATGTGTCAGACACCCGGCTGAGCAAAAAAAATTACTCACGGAAGTATTATTGGAACATGCCTAAAACATATCTGAACCCAACTATCTACACAGTTATGATAATAATAATACTTGCATTTGATATAGCGCCTTATCAAGTTGTTGGAATGTCTCAAATCGCTTCACAGAATATATTGTGAAGTGAATTGACTTGTGTATTTTGTGGTCGAAATGCGGCAGCCAATTGTGCACAGCAGCGTCCCACAAACAGTCCTGGATTGAAGATCAACAGAATACAGTTCCAAAAAAATTGAGATCAAATCTCTCGAATAATTCTATAGTAGAAATGGGTCAGGGGCAAAAAGGAGGCCTTTCTATTGATTTGCTATCTGTCATAATACCCTTGACGAAGCCAAAACTGCTGATATTTGTTAATAGCTTACCTTTATCTGCTCACAAAGTTCCGCAAGTCGGCCATCAACATTAATCTCCTCTGAAAGATAAAGTCCACATCAAAATGCAATAAAGTATTAGATGAGGAAACAGTTAACTTCAGAACGTGTGTGAAAAAAGCAGTGTTTAGGTTTTTAACTATACTCATAAACAAATACTGATGGATGTAGATTGGAACACGCCTAAAACATGTCTGAACTCAACTATCTACACGGTTATAATAATATAATCCTAGCATTTGATATTGCGCCTTATCGCGTTGTTGGGAAATCTCAGGAACGCTTCACACAAAATACTACAAAGTGAATTGATTGCATATTAATTTTGTGTTTCGTTCACAAAATACAGTCAATCCACTTTACAGTATATTCCGTGAAGCTCTTTGAGACGTTTCGAAGACGTGATAAAGCGCTATTTCAAATTCAAATGCAAGGATGATTATTATTACATCAATTCTACGGAAGACAATAAGAAACATGTCTAGCTAGTTATCTGCACTGTTCAGTTCATTCACTGTGACTGTTGAAATACAATGTGTGAAATTACAGTAGCTATTCTAGCAGAAAGGCATCTGATGAGAGAAAAGGTGTGTTTACTGGTGAAAATATAGGTTGTAGACATACCTATTAAGACGTCTCTTTGGGTTCTTGGATAGTCTCTTCTGAGAAGTCGTTCATAAAGGACCTGCATGTTGGTCATGGCTAGTCATAGGATTGTACACACGTACTTGTTACTGTATCTTCTTTTATAACCTATATAACCTATATCACTTGCCTGAAGATTAGTAGCTACGTTGCAACACTTCAATTTACAGAACACCTCAAGCAAAGCTTTCAGCAGTTTGGCAGCACTTCATTCTATTATAAGGTGAGCATTCGACCACCATACTTTTAGTGCCACAGCAAAGCACACAGAGATCAGAAGGAAGTTAAAGTAATAAAGGCACTATATTAGTGTAATAACTTTTGTTAGAAACACAGATAAGAGTAAACCTCTGCAACGTAGTGTCCTTAAGTTAAACAAAAGGCGTGTCTTCATGGACGGTGTTTCTGCGCGATGACTGAGCAGTCGTGAATCTTGTGCATTAGTTTAAGATGTAGTTTAGAATAGTTAGCAAAAAGGGTAGATAACCTACTCATAATGGAGCTCTACTGAAAACCTTCTCGTTGGCAAATGTCAGCAGTAGTCTCTACGAAACATTCCTAAAATTTTAGTTATGAAGATCTACTGTACAGGAACATAGATCATTGGGCCCACCAAGCCTGTTCTGCCGATGTATTAGACCACTGAGCCAGCACAGACACGATGGGCCAAATTATCTCTTTATGTGTTGTAAAATTCTCAGATTCTAACTGTGACAAGTTAACGATAATACGTCTTGCATATGATAAATCACGTCTTTGAGACGTCTCAAAGCGCTTCACAAAATATACTGTAAAGTGAATTGACTGTATATTTTGTGGGCGAAAGATACCAGCTAATACAATTAATATCCTTCATGTAGGGTATGTTACCTCAGGGAAATTATGTAACACAGATCAACAGTGTTCAAGTGTGTTCTTCCCTAAAATCGTTCCTTTCAAAATCATGACTTTCGATAGGGTGAACAAGGAGAAACTATTTCCACTGGTGGGTGGGTCGGTAACCTGAGGACACCAATTTAAAAGAGTTGTTTAAAAGAAACAGAGAGGAGGTGAGGAGAAATTTTTTCACGCAGCAAGTTATTCGGATCTGGAGTGCATTGCCAGAAAGGCTGGTGGAAGCCGATTCGATAACAATTTTTAAGAGAAGTAGATAATTATTTGGGGAGGACAAGTTTGCAGGGCTATGGGGAGAGAGCGGGGCAGTGGGGTTGATTTGGACAACTCTTTTCAAAGAGCCGGTACAGACACGAAGGGCTGAATGGCCTCCTTCTGTGCTGTATAATGCTGATTCTGGAAAGACATACTGGAAGAACTGGGAGAGAACGGTTGAGAAAGGAAGTCCTGCTCAGCATTGGTTATCCAGGCTGCATATATTCCACCCACCAGCGCTGTCTCAACTCAATTTCAGTAAACTTGGTAAATCAATTTCATTAAATAATAATAATCCTTGCATTTAATATAGTATCACATTGTTGAGATGTCTCAAAGCGCTTCAGAAAATATACTGTAAAGTGAATTGATTGTATTTTTTGTGGGCAAATATCTAATTTAATATATTTAGGGAATAGCAGTTCTAAATTGCCCTTGTTCTGATCATCTGCATTGACACCCACTGCGATTAACGAAAATCTATACGATTATGAATCGTCATGCCGAGGCCAAGAGAACATGTGGAAATGAAACATAAGCGGCTGCAACATTGCTAAAGATCGTGTGGTATAAAGACTTCTCTGGAAGGAGGCTGCAGTGGGCAAAAGCCTCTTCATACAGACAAAGTGAAGGTGACCAGTTTTGTGAACTGAAGAAACAATGCCATCTACAACTCTGCAAATAAAATGATTCCACTTACTGCCAACTCTCGCTATCCCAGACAGCTTAGTCTGTGCAACACCGGACTCAGTAACTGAAAGCTATGGACTTGAATCCTAATGGCTCCAATTAGTCCTTCGTTACTGTGAGATCAATAAAATGAGTACCTCAGTAAACCTCACAGTCGTATCAGTTGGGACCATACATTTAATATGACTTATGCAAAGTATGAATTATGTGAAACGTATACATAATAGTGACTTGGGCAGACTTAGGCGATTATACGGTTTATACAGATCAGACTTAAGTGAGTTTTACTGAATGACTAAATATATATCCTTCAGGATGGGGAGATGATAAGCAGCCTCTTCTCTGAAGCATAACTGGCTCGAAGGAGACTCGCCTGGCCTTAGGTCTTCAGTAATTCAAGGAAAACTACGTGACATTGAGAAGTTAAGTTGAAACAATGCACTAACAAGGCTGTCTGTCCTACCAGAATGAGGATTGTGCGAATACTAGTTTCTCATTATACTCTGCTTTGACTGTAATAAGGTAAGAATATGTATGCTTTCCACAATCCCCTTAGAATTGCACAAAATATGAATTCTTCCAGATTCAAATGACATTGGACCAGAATATTTTGACCCTATTATTTTGTCCTGAACAATGAGTGGTTTTGGACGATATAATAGTGAGATCAACTGTACAAGTATGACTGTATATGTTGCTCTCCTATTCAGACAGCTGAGTCACTGGATTGATTTCAACCACCAGAAGAATGTGGCTTTATCTATTGCCTTACAGGAAGCTAAATGATAGCGGTGTTTATAATTTGATTGTAACCAAGCTGGTTACTCAAGAAAAAAAAACACATGGTGGACTGATAAAAACCACTGTACATTGAATTCTATCAACATTGCGGAAAATGCTATTGTTATCAAATGTAATGGAACTTGAAGTAATCATGTGGAAACAAGACAGGAAAGCCTTGGATCCCAAACACTCAGAATACAGAGATTCTACTTTGTGACTCGTAATCTCAGAGGAGCTGAACTGAACTGAACCTCGGTCCATTAATATGGCATTCCGAGAAAACTAGCCGTTTCTTCCTTTTAGTCATCCGGCTGCCTTGTATCAGTCAAATATAACTGCACTGTGTGTTACGGAGGTTAATCAAAATGGGTTTATTCCTGCTCCCTGAATGCCATGGTTACCAAAGTCACCTGGAATCCAGCAGCATCTCATGGTAACTGCAGGTATTCGACCAGACCAATAATTGCAAAACATACTTTAACCTATGGAGTGACTGCCTATCAGTGTCTCTATTTACATGTTGTGTTACCTTTCTCAACTAGAAATGGTTGCAGACGACGAGGGATATGAGATGGAAAGCAATAAAAGATGACTGCTTAAGTAGATGGATATATGTCAGTCTGTCTTTCACATTCCCAAACTCACTCACCTCATCCTGTGTAATGTCTATTGTTGCCTATATACACAGAACTATTAATAGTGCAATTTGCAACGCATAAATATTTCTCTGGAATCACCCAAGTCTCTTATGATTTTGAAATGTAAGATCGTACAAAATTTCAGAAAAAATCTTAAATACAGTCTTAATTTAGTGCCCCATAGTCTTCAAAAGAACCAAGACTGAAAATAAGACTGGGTTTAAGAGTGACTCAAATTGTGCACAATCTTACATTTGAAGACTTTTAAGGCTAAGTCCGAGAGAAAGTTTGGATCATTGAACACGGAATGCAACACAAGAAACAAAGCAGCCAAACAACAACCCACAAAAATATTGTAGGATAGGGTTAGTAGAACATAAGTAAATTAGGATTCAACACTCGTTGCGCTTGCTGTGCACAGAAGTAGCTACCAAAAGCTGTAAAAGCAGTTAGTAATACTATTGCTTAGCAAATGTTCTCTATAGAAAAATGTGCAACAAAAATCGTGATTAAAATATAAAAAAAACACATTAAATACAAAAATATTGCATGGAATCAATGAATATTCAAAACAATTTCTGCACATCAAAAAAAGTTGTTGCTTGTTCTATTTGAATAGGAGTGCTAACCTCGTGCAACCCAATGTAACCCATATTTTGATTAGCTTTATCTTTCTGATAAGCAACCACTATTCCGAGTGAAATCAAAGTGTATAACTTTGAGACTCTCGAAGACGTGATAAGGCGCTATATCAAAATCAAAGATTATTCTTCTTATTATTATTATAATCGAGAGGGAATCTTAAATTATATCCATAATCTCAAATTTGACTTTCACTTTCTAAAAGGAACCCTAATACAACATTTCATGTATGGCTGATGCACTACACATTTCGTGGGACTCTTTTTGGCCTACACAATTGTAACTCTGTTGGTTTCAATTTGACATAGTTCAGTTCTATAAATCATGCTGTTTACCATCAGATTGTCAGACAACAACAATTTCTATTGCGCCTTTCACGTCAGGACATCCCAAGGCTCTGGACAGTCAGGGATTTGGACCCGAATTGGGGGTTGGGATCAGGAAGGGTGGAGGGCAGTCAAAAACGTGGGATGGAGTTCCAAAGAGTGTGGGGGGGGGGGGGGGGAGTGGCTGAAGGCCCGACCGCCAATCCTGCGGCAGGCCGGGCAAAGCAATATTTTCCAATATTTTCTGCCTTCTTGATGAAATACTGAAGACTTGGAACTATTCTGACAGTATAAATAGTTATATATAAATGCGATTACATATTTAAAGCTTTAGAATCAAAACTATAATTCTGGGAAAATAGGGTCTAACCAGGGACATCTTTAACAAAGATCTGTTGCAAAGATTCGCCCTTCAATGATTGTTGGGCAGAGAAATGCTAAAGTACTGAAATACTATACAAATTTCCTACAACCAAAATGCATTCTGAATCCAGACATGAATCCGGAGACAAAGTTAATAATAATAATAACAATCCTTGCATGTGTTATAGCGCCTTGTCTCGTCATTGAGACGTCTCAAAGTGCTTCGTAGAATATACTGTAAAATGAATTGACTGTGTATTTTGTGGGCTAAACAACTGAAACAATCCAGCAATTCTTGCGGTGTTGGTTCAGTGATTCTCAAAGAAGTCATTCACTTTACAGTACGTTTTGTGAAGCTCTTTGAGATGTCTCCACAAAGTGATAAGGTACTTTATCAAACGCAAGGATTATTATTATTATTATCTTGGTCACATCTCTCCAATGGCGGACTCCAACAGGAAATTTGCTCTTCTGATCAAGTCCATAGGTTTAAAGGAGCAAGACTGGTTTGTCTGCAGACAGCCATCAAAGACTACAATATTCTATTAGCTATAGGCTATCAACATTGTAAAACCCAAAGGTCTTGAGGATCATAAAGAGAGAATTCTATTCCAACGTGTTTCCAGGCTCTTTTTCTGCAGCGACTTATAATATTGCTAAGCCGAAGAGTTGCATGCTAAAAAATTGAGAAGAGTTCGCAACCCACAGAGTAGGAGTGGCTGAACATCAAAGAATCTCTCTCATCGGCACCAATTAAATGGCCCTACTTGAGCTCCTATCAAAGACTTTGTGATTCAAAATTAGAACAACATCAGAATTCAAACCAATGGAATTCAATTAACTTCCCTTCGGTTTTCTGGGTGTGTGACGCACATGGAAACCCATCGCCATGCTTGAGTATCCAAACTAGTGTTCCACATATGCATTAAATAGTAACGACCTCTAGCTCAGGTCCGAAACACTTTGACTGTCCAGCGCCTTGGAACTTCCTCAAAGTGTGAAAGGCGCTATGCAAATGTAATTTTGTTGTTGTTGTTACTACTGCAGTGGGCACCCAAACAGTTACAACAAACAATCACATAATCTGACAGTTACGAATATGCAAATAGAGTTGTCAGCATTGCATCAAACTATTATAATAATAATAATAATCCTTGCATTTCATATAGCGCTTTTCAAGTCGGGAGGACGTCCCAAAGTGCTTCACAGAACTCACTGTAAAGTGAATTGACTGTATATTTGTGGGCGAACGCGGCAGCCAATTGCACACAGCAATGTCCCACAAACAGTCGCAGATTGAAAATGACCAATTTATTATTGTTTTGGGTTTTGGAGGGATTATTATTAGGCTCTGTGTGGAGTAAGGAAACTTGCCCAAGGTTTCGCCCTCTGCCTGGAATTGAACCCAGGTCTCTCACTTGCAAAGCGAGTGCTCTAACCACTGAGCTACAGGACTCCATTAAACCATACACTGCAACTCCTAATTATACAGACGGTAGGTTCATCTTAATAAGATGTGAAAGTTGTCCACAAAAGGAATTAATTAACATGTAGAAGACAACAAGCAGGGTTATTTATATCTTATCGTTTTCCTCATGCTCTGGGGTTCAAATGTAGCTCCCACAGAAGAGATGCAAACCTTGTGAATAACAACAACCAATTACATTTGTAAAGCGCCTTTCACGACGGGAAGACGAACCAAGGCTCTGGAGAGTGCAGGATTTGGGTTGGGATCAGGACGGGTGGAGGGCGGGCAGGGCGGGTGGGGGTAGGAAGGTGGGAGCGATTATGATCTTAAGTGAAATAAGCAGCCCCAAACCTGGTGCGAAACTACCCTTTTTATCTCACATTGTTGTCAGATAAGAATAAATATTTCACACTCAGTGATGGGCAGAGTGTTGTCCTTTAAAAGGCGGCGTGTGGTAATTTTAACCAGCTTGATTCTTGAACAGATTATTTTTTAGATCAGCGAGCACGAAATATATGCCAATTAAATTAGCATTTTCAGTAATTCAACAAAGCAAACGTTTCAAAGAGAGCAAGCAACAATCTTCAGAATTCTAAATATAAGGACATTTTAACATTTTATACATGGAAAGCATATACTACAAGCAAATGTCCTTTGCATGATTGAAACAAAAGCTTTAAAATATAACTTGCGTTATAGAGGGTTTCACATCTTCGAACAAAATAATAATAATCCTTGCATTTGATATAGAGCCTTATCACGTCGTTGAGACGCCTCAAAGGACTTCACAGAACACACTGTAAAGTGAATTGACTGTGTGTTTTGTGGGTGAAACATCTGAAAGTCTCTTTATTGCAGATGGTTGAGGAAGAATTTCACATCTATTGCAAGTGTTTGTTGACTGAAGGACCTCTTTATTTACACAGCAAAATTTTCTAAATCTTTTGGGTTTTGTCAATTAGCTTATGGCAAGAAAAAGCATTTGTTAAATAGTTCAATGAAATATGCAATGACCAGTAACTGAAAATAATAAGAATTGATACTGAACAAATTCCTGTTGCTATCCCAATGAACATCTCTGTCAGTAACTGTGGGCGCATTGTCGTCAAAGCTTGAAGGTTCAAGTTGTATGTGTCTGGCGATAAGGATGTGCAAAATAGCTGAGATTTCCCAATATCAGCCACAACAATTTGAAATAAAACATTGCCCAATATCCTTTGAATTCATTCTCCTCCTTAAAGGAGACTCCAGAACTGTGGAAGACATTTTAATACATTAGCTGGAAGATTGGAAAGAAATGAGCAAATTAAGAGAGCAACGATTAGGTAAGATTAGCAAAGTCTTCAACCTTCTCCGTCTGAGATCAAGGTTTGGTAATGTATCCATACACATTGAGTAAAATCAGGGATTGGCTCAGATGACCCTAATAAGAACATAAGAAACGCTAGAAGAAAAAAAATACCAACGTTCATCTAGTTCGCCTTCCACTTTCCTGGTGGTTGCAAGCACATCTCCCGAACTACCTCTGTACAATATTCCCTAATGGTCTAACAGGCTGCTGATTCTCACAGTCTGCAGTCTGGGGCCACACATGGAGCATGACTATGTGGGCAACGCCAGAGAGCATCTGGTGTTTTAAGCAGTTATACTGCAGGATAAATCAATGCCTTTGGGTGGAAGGATGAACAGATTTTTGCCCCCTGCCACCCTTTGAGGAATTATACTAAAAGAGAAATGAAGATTTTGTGCACTGTTGGGAGTGACGTGCGGAAAATCATATCATTTGCTCATTACTTGAGTTAATTTGAGTTGTCTGTGAATGCATTATAACCTTCTTCTCCGGAAGAAACAAAACCTAAGCAGCGGAAATTATTTTTCCCAGAAATAAGATTTTTTTTTGAATCTTCCAAGATTCAAACAATGTCCCTAAATATGTTCAGCTTATGTCAACACAAACCAAGTCCAAAAGTTGTGTGGAAAAGTTGCTGGTCACTTCATATCTGATCAAAAGTGTTTGTAATGCATTTTTGTGAAAGGGGGGCCGAGGGAATAAACCAATGCATTTATTTAGTGCTTTTCACGTTGGGAGTACGTCTCAAGGTGCTCCAATATAGGAACACAGGCCCACCTTATACCCCAAAAAACAAATAAAACTCCTACAATCATGAATGCGATCATCTGGACACAGACCAAGATACCTGACTGTAATAACAATCAACATTTTATCCATAATTGTACCTAATTAACTACTGACCATTTTAATGTTTTAAAGTTGAAGGAAGATCAAAGACAGATTTCCTGGTGCTTCAACTCAGGCATCAAACGATTACTCCTGAGGCACTTGTTTTAAGTCTATTTCTAATATCTGCATGATGTGCAACACACTAGCAGAAACGTCCTATGCGAATGCTGAATACAATTCAAACCACACGCACTCAAACCATAAATGAACAGCATTATGTCTCTACGCCAATGACTTGTTTTCAAAACCAATGACTCACTTGGGAGTCATTTTATACAAGTTCTAGAGCACTGAAGCAAGCCATTCCACCCATCACATCTGTGCTGGTTCTCGCTCTCCAACTGGAGCTTTCCGCTCTAATCCCACCTCCTACTCTTTGCCAACACTCCACATAAGAACAAACTAGGCGAAAGAAGACCAAGGTCCATCCAGTTCGCTTTCCATCCAGTCGCTTGACATGTCTTGTCTAATATCGTTTAAGTCATGTATTTATCCACTTCCCTTTAACCACTGTTATATACTTAGTTTGAACAGCTATTTATTCTGACCATTCCACATTCCAACAAACCTCTGTGTAAAAATATGTCTAAAGTCTTTATCCCCTGATAATAATCCTCAATTTGTTAACCCCTGACCGATCAACAGAAATAGTCTTCTGAACCTATCAAAAACATATTTTTAATTTTTTTTATAAAGTCCCTAATCAATATCCCGTTAACCTTCTGTGCATCACCAAAGCATATTATACTAATCTCTCAAGCCGCGCTTGGCCTTTGTGTATCACCATGGCATTTATAAATTGCCAGCCATTTCCATAGTGGCTTTCAGTAATTAATTCTTCTTAAAAGCACTTTAAATCTGGTAGAATCGGGGAGTGATATGTAAAGAGGTATCCGATGGACTGGCTTAATGCTATACTGAAAATTCATGTTTCAAAACCAGAAAATAATTAACTCATCCATCGTGAATCGCAAAGTGCTTACCCAGTTCCATTCTGCGAGATGTGGGAAGTTCTTTTGTCACCATGGTGAAGTAATTAAAGAGGCCCTTGTAAGCTAGCAGCAAGTTTACACACAGATTGTGATGGAAACTGTAGGCATGTTGTACGCAGCTCTCTGGCACCACAAAATTGCTTCCCTGAAAGTGAAACGTAGAGCAAGGTGGAAATTCAATTTATACACATTTTGTGCAAACATGAGCGTAAAAATGAAATGCTAGGAAGTTGCTCTCTCCCAGAAGGTTGTCAAAAAATGAAATGATTTACCAGCGCTGCCTTTCCAGCGTTTAAAACTGAATTACATAAGTAGAGTATATGTCGTGTCGCCCACAAAATATACAGTTAATTCACTTTACAGTATATTGAGTATATCACATCTAAGGCGCTATATCAAATGCAAAGATTATTATTTTTATTATATAGGAAGGGTACTAGAGCGTACAGGGAAAGAACGGGAAATTTGGATGAGAATAGATAGCATGATTGGTGGAGCAAGCACACACACTAATGAGAGAAGTCAAATGGCCTCCCACTGTGATACATTTCTATGGTTCTATTTATTGAGCTAATAAATTTAATGCACCATTTAATTATATAGCAATATTGTATTCAGCCCTGGCATTTCAAGCACGAACAGTAGAATAGACAACAAGTTATTTTTGACTGCTGATGACAGCTCATCGGCAGGACCTGGAAGCGCAGACCAGTCACTAGGGGCAGGGAATCTTTCCACTCAACTCCTGTTAACCCTGCAAGCCAAAGCTCTAACAGGTAAGGTTGTCCGAGCTGGACAAGCTGTGAGGAAGCTGCTTTCATTGACAATGGTTTTAGCTGGTTAGATTCCAGCAGTATCCCCACACACTCTGGGATCCTCAAGATTTGGTCCATCTCAGCCTGTGCCTAATACTCTCCAGAATTAGGTAAACAAGATACGTCCCTTCAGGGAGTGCATTCCACGCCAATACATGTGAATTTCCATGTGTAGACTGTATAGGTGGGATGCATAGAACTCTGTTCGTTTTGGCTACTCTTAAACATGGTGATGGGTTTCTGTATGTGGCAATACCCCAAGCTGACCAAAACAAAATTATAAATTGATCGGCTGTCACAATAAGAAATAACCAGTCTTTCATTCATTATTATCAGGATTATTCATTATTATTTATCTTGACAAGTTATAATAATAATAATTTTTGCATTTGATACAGAGCCTAATCACGTCGTTGAGATGTCTTAAAGCACTTCACAGAATAATTATTACCCTAGAAAGCTATCCACCAATCCACTAACAACTGGGTTCCTACTTAGTGCTAGGTAACAGAGTAAGGAAACTTGAGTAAGGTTTTGCCCTGCCCGGGAATCAAACCCAGATCCTCTCGCTTGCAAGGTGAGTGTACTAACCACTATGCTTCAGGACTCCAAGGTAAGTAGTAATCCAGAGATAAATCATATCTATTCATCATTTCCTTGGAAACTGAAAGTCTAACAAAACGAATCCTGAGATTAACTACCCAGATAATATTGATTCCACATGCATGTGGAGAGAAAACAGGTATCTGATGGTGCAATTTCGAAACAATTAAAACCCTCTCTTTATGATTCTGACTGCCCAATTTAAATGATAGGTAAAGTGACTTCACCATGACAACACAAAGAAAATACTTTGAACTAAAAATAATGCAGAACTAAAAATGCCCAAGATCACAATATCATGCGTGAACAAGATTTAAACTTAACAAGCCCATCAGAATCTGAAAACATTAACCCATCCTTCCCTTTCAGTGGTTGCTTCACCGACTGCACTTCCAGCAGTTTGTTACATCAAGGCTTGACTACACCAGCTCCCTGCTTATCAGCCTTCATAACTCTGTGACCCCATCCTCATCCTCATCTCCATCCTCCACTGGCTCCCAGGGAAGAATTATGATTCCCCCCTCTACCAGAAAGCAATTCACCAGTCATCTAACACCCGAGTTCCTACTTACTGCTAAGCAAACAGAGGTGGGGAGGGGAGTAAGGAAACTTGCCTTGAAACTTGCAGGTTTCATCCTGTCCGGGAATCAAACCCAGGTCCTCTCGCATGCGAGGCGAGTGCTCTAATCAATACACTACAGGATACCACATAACAAGCATGTCTGAAAACTTACTGCTTAGAATGCTATTGTTGGATAGGTTAATGCAAAATTTTCATTATAACAAGACAAACATTGATTATGGTCTCAAGATGTGTAGGCAATAATCCTTACACATAGTTCTTTTGTATAGCCATGCTTTAAAGCATAAACATTTCAGAGGCATCAAAATATATGTTGTCTTACATCAGTCGACAGCTGCTTGGTGTAGGTGCTGCCAAACACCACACTTTCAAGAGAAGGAATTACATAATCCTTGTTCTGGGCTGGTGCGTTTCTGTTCAGCCAAGTGCTCTTCATTGGACGAGGAAAGCTGAAAAGGAAACAAAAGTAAATCAAGAAATACCTTTCTCAACAAACTGGAAGCACAAACATTGTCCAAATCGTGGTTGATCCACTCAGCACTTTTTGACATCAATAAAAATGATTACCGTTACACAATATTCTTGTGTGAGCTTGGGGTAGTGATCAGGGTCTCCCTAGAGTTAGACACAGTGGTGGATTGAGTGACCAAATTATTATTGTTTTACAAGATTTTTTTTGGAAGGGATTATCACCCCTGAAAAGCAATCCGCCAATCAACTAACAACCAGGTTCCGACTTACTACTGGGTAAACAGAGGAGTGTGGAGTAAGAAAACTTGCCCCAGATTTCGCTCTGCCCGATAATCAGACCCTGATCCTCTCGCTTGTGAAGCCAAGTACTCTAACCACTGAGCGACAGGACTTTATTACTACAGTACTTGGTTTTATTAACAATTAAAAAAAAAACCCTTCAGGCTCTGCCTCTATTCAAAGACTTTGTCAACTCTGATACATTATTCCACATACTTAGGTAGAAAAACACATACTTTATTAATACTTAAATAATTAGCTTACATTTCAAGGGCTCTATCCCTCATTTCATATAGCACCTTTTTGTTGAAATGTCTTAATGTGCCGCAGGGTTTTAGGTGAACAAAATTTCCATATAGCCCTGGGGTTCATGGGAATAATATCCAGAACTCATTTATTCATTTACTTTTTGTCAAAAACCAGTCCCAAAAATTAATAATCCTTTCGTATGATATAGCGCCTTAATGCGTTGTTGAGACGTCACAAAGCGCCTCACAGAATATACTGTAAAGTGGATTGACTATGTATTTTGGAACCCAACTCAGAGATGTTGCAAAGCTCACAGATCAACAGATTGTGGTTCTTCAACCATAATTCCTCCACAGGGTGATCCTCCCATTTTAATCGCATCAGATTTGCCGAGTAGAGGCCATGTATTGATCCACAGGAAGAGAATAATGCAATAGGACCAGTACTGTAGCTCATGAATACTCACAGCAGTCTATGCTGGTACTCCAGTACAGTCCCATTGTATTGTCAGAGATGTCTCATTTGGATGAGAAATTAAATTGAGATCCTGTGAGCTGTTCAAATTGATGTGAAAACTTCTATTACAATATTCAAAACAAGAAGGGGATTCGCCTTACTTCCTAGTCAACAGACCTCCAGATAAACTGGTCAGTCACTTCATGGTTATGTGCAAAAATCACCAAGCATCCCTACAAAAACACACAGCATGATGGACAGTTAATACTAAAGCGCTTTGAGACATTGACATTAGATTTTATAAAAATGTGAGTGCTTTCCTTCTTAGTTCTATATTTAAAAGGTTCATATGCTTGCTTTCTGAATGCTGGAATAATTCTGCCTCCAAGCAGAATTTGTCTTTAGCTGGAGAGCAAGGAAGGACAGGGAACAGGATGCTTATTCCAGGTTTAACAATCTCCGATGGTCAGTCAGGCCATGAACACAGTCCCAGAAACACATGGAAAGGCAAGTGTGCCAAGGGACACAGGTGAAGGAGAGGTAGATCCCAAATGATGCCTGGGAAGTAATTGCGGATATGATGAATTACAGTAACGTTTAATAGCGACTGAATTGTAAATCTTTTTGCAAAAGGTGAACTTGGCAGAGACCTCATTATGAAACACCTACCTTATCAGAGGTTGGTGAAGGGCAACCAATGAGGCGTGAATCGTGAGAGATACAACAGAAAGGTGGAAATAATCAAACATGACATTGACGTGGTGATGAAGTCCACGATGTAAACTAAAGTGCAGTTTCAAGGTCCGACTACTGATCAGCTGCAGAGAATTCAGGTCATCGGATCTGGAAGGGAGGAATTTTAAATCATTTAGAAAGCACTCACTGGGGAAATGATCCTCATTAATTTAATGAAGCATTTGTACCAGTCGACTAAAGGAAAAGGAAAGTCAAGGGGGAAGAATCCTTTCAAAGTAATCCCCTGTCTGCAATAATAATAAAACAGATCCGCCCTCTAACTGGTAACATATACATCTTTATTTTAATCACATCCCCTCCCACAGAGAAGCATTACTTCATGTTTTCATTCTCACTTGAATAATCAACTGTGATGTAGGCCAGCTGTACACATCTCAGCATTCGCAGCTGTCCTGGTTATACATGGAAACATAGTTGTTCACTGCATTGAAAACCACTCCAGAATGCCTTAGCTGAGAAAGATTATTACCAGCTGAGCGCACTCACTAACCCAAGATCTATTTGAGTACTTGACGCAGATTTCTAAAGCAAATTTCTGCTCCTTTGATATTGAAAGTCTAATCTAAAAAATGTTTAAAATAAATAAACAAATTTCCCTGTGTCTGGGTAATACAATCACAATTGCTTGATTTGCGTCAGCCAGGCTTATTTAGTAGCACTCTCGCCTCCCGAGTCAAACGGCTGAATCCAGTATAAGATGAAAGCTCGGAATAGATAACATTTAAGTGACTAATAATCATCTCAGATGATGTTAGAATGTCACTATGTATTCCATATCCCTTTCAAATACTGCATAACCTTTTAAACTTCATTCAGTTTAACAGCAACAAATTTGTCTTGAAGCAACCGATTTAAGTCATGAATTGGTCAAACTTCAGTCAGTTTAATATTGCCTTCTAGGGAGTGCTCGTTGGTTAAAAAAAGCAACATGTAAAAAAATAGAGCAAGAGTTTTTGGTTAGTGCTGTGGACACTCAGAAAAATAACCAATTTTCTTTACAAGTTCTATTAAGCGATAACCATCTTGTCACTTACAATACATTTAAAAAAAACATTTCAGCATGTGCCAAAAAATGTCAACATTACCGTCCAGACGTTAGAGCGAGGTAGCACTAACTCTGTATTTCAGACCTTTACAACAACTTGCAATTTATAGTGTACTTCGCGCGGGATAGCGCTTAACAATGGTGAAGCTTGACACTGAGCTGAGGCGGGAGAGAAGGGAGGTGACTGTAGGCATGGTCAAACAGGAAGGTCTTCAGATGTGATCTGGCAATAGGTAAGGAGGTGGGACTGAAGCAGAGAAGTCCAGAGTTTTGGGGGGTAGTGAAAGAACAGCCGCTGATGGGGTGAAATCGCAGAGGACGAGGCACCTGTAGAAAGCCGGAGGCAGCTGAGGGAAAGGGAAAGGTAATAGAGTGGGATGTAAGCAGGTTGGAGAGGTAGCAAGGTACTAGGGAGTGAAGTGATTAGTAAGTAAGTGTAAGGATCTCAGTTCCTGACTGATCATCAGTCAATCATGCATCAAAAGCAGATTTTCATGTTCAGAATAAAACAGAACTTGGTGAATATCTGACCAGAATGACTATTAAATACTCACGTAAAATCTTTGTCAGTAAAATTGAGATCTAAAGTTAACTGGAAATCCATTTCATTGAGGGAATCTTCAATCTGGATGTAAAATTGAAGTGATGACAACCTTATTATTTTATTCATACCATTTCAGAATTTTTACTTCAAGAGTTTCCGACACGACACCTTAAATCTTACATATTGTTCGATGCAAAGATTGGCATTTTACTCAAATATTTGATCAGTTGAATTTCTTACCAAATTAAATCACCACAATGTTTAAAATTTTGGAAATGCAAGAATATAGTACATAGAGTGCTTTTTGCTGAATCGGTAAAGTCGTACAAGTATTTAGTTTGTGATATTAGGAACATTGGAATTACTAGACGAAAATAGAACTACCATCCTGGTAGTCACATGCTACAATAATGAAGATGCTGAAAGCAATTAATTCTGTATGGATTAGTTTACAACACAGCGGAAAGCTTTAGGAACCTTAGATCCAAAGTTGCCTGGTTCTTCCAAGCCATTCTACACTTGTCATGTTTCGAATTACTCATATATTCAAATGATATACTATAATTGTAAGTGTGATAGAAGGGAACACACTCCAGGAGTCAATCTAACACTACTTTACTCTTCTCTATTTCTCGTTAAACTGATAAAATTCAGGAACAGGATTGCGAAAGATATTCAATGCAGAAGTGAAGCGGGAATAATATATTACCTTCTTGCCATCGAGCAATATTTTAACTTTGAAGAGCAAGACGTCATTGACAACAATCTCTTCATTTTTATAAAGAATCTGAAAGGTTTTGCTGCACGCTGTGCAATCGTGGACAGAAGGGGGGAAGGCAAGATCAGAACCTAGACAGGAAAACAGAAAACATCAACGATTAATTTCAAAGTGCTGTACTCATTATTTGACTTTAGGTGAATTCTGATATAATAAGCCTTACATTTGATATAGCGCCTTATCACATCGTTGAGACAACGCAAAGCACTTCACAGAATATATTGTAAAGTGGATTGATTGCATATTTATGGGCAAAACACAGCAGCCAATTGTGCACAGCAGTGTCCCACAAACAGTCTTTGATTGACCATTTTTTAAAATAGGGATTATTGTCTATGGAAAGTGATACACCAATTGACTAACAACCAGGTTCCTACTTACTGCTAGGTAAACAGAGGTGTGTGGAGTAAGAAAACTTACCTGAGCTTTCGCCCTGCCCAGGAATCATACCTGGATCGTCTCACTTGTGAGGTGAGGGCTCTAACCAATACGCCCCGAGACGCCACTATGAATAACAGCTGCTTTGCCACGTTAGGTTTTTATTCAGCCCAGTTATTTTCTCACAAGAATAAAGAGTATGGTCGTAGGCATCAGCAGATTGAACCTGCTGAACTCTGTGACCCACCAGCAATGGGTAATAAATCTCTTCTGGCACAGCAAAGACAATTAGTTGGCCTTTTCATAGCACTTGTGTTTACATTACACAGAGAATGTGTTTCCACAAGTGGGAACAGAACAAGACAAGGATAGAGTTTTTTCCAGCACCCTGCACCAACAAATACAAATGCCCCCTTACTGAAAGAAGCCTGTTCAAAAACCCAACTTCCCCAGTCTGTCAGGTTCACGAGAGCTGCCCTTTCGCACTCAATAAACCAAAGGCAGTGTTTACAGACGGTCGATAAGACAAACTTTCATGAAAACAAAAGATTCAGCAAAATGTGACTCGGTACTGAAAACAATAAAAAGAGATACCAATCTTCCAACATTTTCACTTCGCAGTTACTCGGGATAATTTCTCACATTGGAACCATGAGTGGTAACGATTGCAAAAGCTGTTAGCTGAGTGGAGGTAGTGTGCCCGGCCAGGCAAGAGAATTACTTCATTTTTTACAATTTCACACACTGCAATTTTATAATACCAGATTAATTTCTCCAACAATTGATGCCCAAATAGGATTAAAAAGAGTATAATTTTCAGATTATCCACCCTTGGAGGAAAAAATGTCGAAAGAATATTTACAGACTATGTGGATAATGACAGGTACAATTTACAGTAGGCATCTGATAAGGTGCCTCATAACAACTTGCATTGATTTATCCTTGCATTTGATATAGCGCCTTATCACGTCTTCGAGACATCCCAAAGCTCTTCACAGAATATACTATAAAATGGATGATTGTATATTTTGTGGGCGAAACGCCACAGCCAATTGCTCACATCAGTGTCCCACAAACAATCGTGGATTGAAGTGACCATTTTAATATTATTATTTTTTTGGAGGAATTACTACCCCTGGAAAAGCGATCCGCCAATCGACTAACAGCCGGGTTCCTACTTACTGTTAGGTAAACAGAGGCGTGTGGAGTAAGGAAACTTGCCTACCATTTCATCCTGCCCAGGAATCAAACTCAAGTCCTCTTGCAAGTGCTCTAACCAGTACGCTACAGGACTCTACAATAAATCATTTACCTCATTGATGTTAGTTGAACATTATTGTCCCAAAATTGCCTGTCGTGTTCAGCTGCAAGCTACACTCTGCAGTAAATCCTGTAAAGCACTTTGAGAAATTTCAATGACAGGAAAAGGTGCTATATTAAATACAAGGAGTGTCATAATTCATGTGTAGCGCTATAAAAGAGCACATCGAAATAGCCATTCAAAAGTAACTGGGGATCTGGGTTTTATATACAGGGGCACTGAATATGTCTGCCATTTACCTGCTCTTTCTCAATAGCCCTCTAGGTGACTATTAACGTATTTGATAAGTTCCCTCTCGAAGGTCAATATGGATGCTGCCTCCACCACTGCTCCCAGTATCCTAACTACTCTGTGCGTGAAAAGATGTCATTTGCTCGCTTATTTTCATAAATTGATGCCCTGTAGTCACTGACTCACCAAAATAATTTCTCCCAATTGACTCCACCAAAGCACCTTATAATTTTAAAGACCTCTATCATGAAAACAAGCTTCTTTGTTCCAGCGGAAAGTTGCAGTTCCTCCAGTCTCCGCTCATTAGCCAAACCACTCATCCCCAGAATCATCCTAGCAAATCTCCTCGAAGTACAGTTACAAGGATAGGTTCAAAATATTGAGGCTGTTTATACTGCAACAAATAATGTAAACTTTAAAAGTTCCAAAAGATTGAGAACATGAATAATAATAATAATACTTGCATTTAATATAGCGCCTTATCACATCGTTGAAAAGTAACTAATAAAATAATATAATAAAACAGTAACATTATTCTTGCTGCACGACTAATCTGTCATTTGATGACCCAAACTCCAGGGAGAAGTTCAGAGAGAAGTTCAGAAAGAAACCTTTCCATATAAATGTTTGCTCGAATACTGAGTGCTTTGCTACAATTAGCTATTGTTTCTGAGAACATAGCATTTGAAAATGAATTGGATGAATATTTGAAGAGAAACAATATGAAAGGGAGCAGAAAATTGGATTAGAGTTGTTAGCTCTAATGGAGAAGCCGGCATCGGCATCCACAGGAACTCAATGTGCACCCTTATACTTTCATAATTTCCATGAGCTTCCCGGGTAAGATGATGACTCACGAAATTAATGGCAATGTACATTAACGAGATTGAAATTGTCTTAGCAATAGAAAGCAGGGGTATATAAGTTTTATAAATAACTAGAAATTTCAACATAAGAGCCATTCAGCACATCATATTCATGCTGAGCTATATTCCCACAGGAGCCATCTATGGTAATCACCCTGTAAATTATTTTATATCTCTCATTCATGCATTTTTCTAATTCTCTGATAAATATCATAAATGTGCAGTCCTGGAGCGTATTGTTTGAGGATTCGCCTCGAAAGCGAGAGGACAAAGATTTGATTTCCGGGCGAGGCGAAACCTTAGGCAAGTTGGGACATCTCAATGCACTTCATAGAATCTACTGTAAAGTAAATTGACCGTATATTTTGTGGGCAAAACGCAACAGCCAATTGCGCTCAGCAGTGTCCCACAAACAGTGGATTGAATGAACAAAACATTATTATTTGTTTATTTTTGATGGGATTATTACCCCTAGAGAGCAATCCGCCAATCGACTAATGACCCAAGATGCTGGACAGCAAGGGATTTGAGATCAGAAGGGGTAGAGGGCAGGGAGGGTAGGGTGACTGAAGGCATGGTTGAAGAGGAGGTTCTTAAGACGGACCTGAAGGAGGCAACAGAGGGAGCGAGGCAAAGGGAATGTGGGATGGAGTTCCAAAGGGTGAGGGCAGAGAGGCCGAAGGCCTGACCGGCGATGTTGAGGCAGGCCAGCCAAGGGAGATGAAGCAGGCCGGAGCCCACTGAGCGGAGGAAGCGGACAGGTCTATACAGAGTTGGTAGGTCACAGAGGTAGGGAGGAGCAAGGCCGTGGAGGGCTCTGTAATTTGTACACAAGAGTAATTTGTTGCTGTTTAGATACAACAACACACAAAGAAAAGCGAATGCCACTTTCACAGCTATTAAAGAGCTCTTTGCAGGTCACCCACCTGCTGGATTCAGTAGGCTGGCCTCCAACTTGTGTGGAACCCTGGGCGGCAATTTCATCGTGGCACGAATCTGGTAAAACCTGCAACAAACCACATGTATATTCAATTAAACACAGTTAAATATTCTGTAATTATAAACCATCTCACTGCATTGAAACAACAAAGCAAAGCAACTAAAATAGCCAAACTCTACTCCTTTAGATGTAGCAGTCATCATTTTCTATTTCCAACCAATAATAATAATAAATAATCCTTGCATTCGATATAGCGCCTTATGACTTTGTTGAGACGTCAAGAGAAGGCCTTGACTGCAAGGCAAGGTTACAACTAAAACCCAAAGTACGACATTAGACAATTTAATAATAATCGTTGCATTTGTTCTAGGTCTTTTCACATCTTCGAAACGTCTCAAAGCGCTTCACAGGTGGAGTCCTGTAGCTCAGTGGTTAGAGCACTCGCTTTGCAAGCGAGAGACCTGAGTTCAATTCCAGGCAGAGGGCGAAACCTTGGGCAAGTTTCCTTACTCCACACAGAGCCTAATAATAATCCCTCCAAAACCAAAAACAATAATAAATTGGTCATTTTCAATCTACAACTGTTTGTGGGACATTGCTGTGTGCAATTGGCTGCCGCGTTCGCCCACAAATATACAGTCAATTCACTTTACAGTGTGTTCTGTGAAGAGCTTTGGGACGTCCTCCCGACGTGAAAAGCGCTATATCAAATGCAAGGATTATTATTATTATTATATACTGTAAAGTGAATTGACTATTATTGAGGGCGAAAAGAGGCAGCCAATTGCGCACAGCAGTGTTCCACAAACAGTCGTGGATTGAGTGACTAATTCATTTGTTTGTTTTCTTTGTTTTTCAAGGAATTATTACCCCCAGAAAAGCGATCCGCCAATCAACTAACCGGGTTCCTACTTATTGCTAGGTAAACAGAGGCGTCTGGAGTAAGGAAACTTGTCCAACATTTCGCCCTCCCGGGAATCAAACCCAGATCTCTCGCTTGCGAGGCGAGCACTCTTACCACTGAGCTACAGGACTCCACCAGGATACCAAGATGACTTGGTGTCCAAAAGAAGTTCCCATTATGTGCAGAGAAATGTTTTTCGCACTCACTCTATTTAAAACAATAACAACAACAACAAGATTCCATTTATAGAGCGCCTTTCACGTCGGAAGGACGTCCCAAGGCGCTGGACAGTTGGGTCAGGACCCGAGCAGGGGGAAATGGTCAGGGTGAGGGGAGGGAAGGGAGGGAGCGAGGAGGGGGTAGAGAGTCGAGAGGGGAGCTGAAGGCACGGTCAAAGAGAAAGGTCTTGAGACCGGCCTTGAAGGAGGAAAGGGAGGAGGCGGCGAAGGCACTGGGGGATAGAGTTCCAGAGCCTCGGGGCTGAGAGGCTGAAGGCCGGGCCACCGATGGAAGGGTGGTTGGGGCGGGGGATGTGGAGGAGACCGGAGCCAGAGGAACGGAGGGTACGGGCAGGTAAGTAGGAGTCCCAAACCTGAACAAGACAATGTTTTCAGCTGAATTTTACAACTAAGTGATTTCAGAATGTAGTGCCAGAATAAACATGGAGAAAAGGGCACATCTGTGATAAGAGCACTGTAGGCTATTGTACCAAAGTCAAAGGATGGTAGTCTGAAAAGATGATTTATTACAGCAACTCATCAAGAGCTGTTCGGGAAGAGAAGCAGCATGGCTCCAGCCTGCAGTACCATATGGGTCGATTCCTGGCTTAGGCTGAATGACTTGCTGTATAATGTACCAGTGAAGAAACGGATGTTGAGACTAAAAGGAAGGTCCAGCTACTGCTACTACTAATAATAATACTTGCATTTGATACAGGGCCTCGTTGAAAGTCTCACAGTGCTTCACAGAATATCTTGCAAAGTGGATTGACTGTATTTTGTGAGCAAATCACGGCAGCCATTTACGCACAACAGTGTCCCACAAACAGTCATGGAGTGATGACAAATTATTATTATTTTTTTTAAAGAGATTATTACCCCCAGAAAGAGATTCTCCAATCAACTGACAACCAAATTCCTACTTACTGCTTGGTAAGCAGAAGCTTATGGAGTAAGGAAATCACCCTTACTAATCACCTAAGCAATCTCTCTGCCCTAGAATGAAACTCTGGTCCTTTCACTTGCGAGGAAAGCACGCTAACCACTGCACAATTTGCACTTAAAGAGCACTTTTATTTTACAAAGCAGTTGCCTTTACTTTACAAATAAAGGGTTGCTAAAAATACGTAACAGGTGAGGGGTGACAAAGCATTCAGGTGAGGAAGCACAGATTAATTGTGTTAATGCAAGGAAGTCCACCTGCGTCCACAGTAAGGCACAAAATAAGAGATTGAATAACCTGAAGCAATTGCAAGGCAGTAATCTAATCTCTAAGTGACGTGGTAAATGGTGATCCGAGCCTTGAGATTTCTGACTCAGTCATTCCAGCACTTCCTTTAAAGCAAAACATGTCCCGTTTACTTCTGGGATGATTTTTATGGCATCGTGTGCCAACAGCTGCTGCCCTCTCGATTTTTATGCTGGGTGGCATTCACAGTGAAAGATCAATATTCATTCCTACAGGTTTATGGAAAGCGCATTTGTTGGCAAAGGTAAGGAGAACTTGTTAAGTATGCACTACCGATGTTGCATTTATATCACATGGTTTTGGGTCGAAGAAACTTAAGACCTTACTATCTCACTGAGATGCCTCAAAGCACGTCACAGAATATAATGTTACGTGAATTGACTGTATATTTTGTGGGCGGAACGCGGCAACCAATTACATAGCAGTGTCCCACAAATAGCCACAGATTGAATGACCAAATTATTTATTGATTTATCTACTGAAGAGATTATTACCCCCGGAAAGGTGATCCAACAATCGACGAACAAAAGGGTTCCTACTTACTGCAAGGTAAGCAGGAGCATATGAAGTAAGGAAACTTGCCTAAGGTTTCGCTCTGTCTGGGAATCAAACCCAGTCCTCTTGCTTGCCAGGCAAGTGCTCTAACCAAGGACTCCAGATGCCAGCATTATAAATTGGGGTTGAGCCCGTGCAAATTGCCTACAGCAGCTTGTGGTGGTCTACTGTGTAATGGAATCGACAGGCTGACCATTTATTCAGATCTTGTGGTACAAAGATGGGATACTTTGCACTGTAATATCTGAATAAGTCCTGTAGCTCAGTGGTTAGAGCACTCGCTTTGCAAGTGAGAGACCTGAGTTCAATTCCAGGCAGAGGGCGAAACCTTGGGCAAGTTTCCTTACTCCACACAGAGCCTAATAATAATCCCTCCAAAACCAAAAACAATAATAAATTGGTCATTTTCAATCTACGGCTGTTTGTGGGACACTGCTGTGCGCAATTGGCTGCCGTGATTTGCTCACAAAATACAGACTGCATATACAGTCAATTCACTTTGCAGCATATTCTGTGAAGCGCTTTGGGACGTCTAGAAGACGTGAAAAGCGCTATACCAAATGCAAGGATTATTATTATTATAAACAGTCAGCCTGTTCAATCTTGGGAAGGAAACAGCTACTCAATGAGCTACGGAACACATCATTACATCTGTTAGGAAATTCTGAAACCTCATCCGCTATCAACCATCTCAGGTGAATAATGATACATGGTGTAGGAAAGTTCTGATCCCAATGAGCATCTGCTGGCACTTTGCCTGTAAACATGTGGTTACCACTGCAGGGCATTACTTAAGTGGCAAATTTCTAAATCAAACCCACCACAAGCCTCTATGGAGCCGAATGTGATCATTCAAGTATTCTATAACTGGCAGAGGAGCGACCCGGGTTATGTTGGGACCATATGTTCGTGAATAAGAGCATAAGTATGGAATGTGTAGAAAATGAAAAGGACCTGGGGGTCCTAACTGACAATAAATTGAAGCTCTCCCAACAATGCTCTGTGTCAGTGAGTAAAGCAAACCAGATGGTGAGATGTATCCAGAGGTCAATAGCAAGCCAAAATAGTGGGGTAATCCTGCCACTGTATAAATCATGGTGAGACCACGTACTGTGTACAGTTCTGGTCACCACAGCACAAAAAGAATATTGGAGAAATCGAGAAGATACAGAGGAGGGCAACCAAAATGATTGAGGGAATGGAGGGACTGGATTATGTGGGGCAAGTAAGTAAATTGGGCATGTTCACGCTGGAAAAGAGAAGATTGAGAGGCGACATGATCGCTGTCTTTATGACCCTAAAGGGGCAAAACAACATAGATTATGACGGTCTTTTTCAACTTGACCAGAATAGTAGAACCAGAGGACACGGCCTGCAATTGAAGGGGTTAAAGTCAGAACAAATCTACGCAAACACTATTTCAGTGAGTGAATAGTGAACCTGTGGAACAGGCTCCCTAGGTTGAAGCAGGAAACCTTGATTCCTTCAACCACAGATTAGGTAGTTTTCTTTTAGGAAATAACATTATGGGATATTGTACATAGGCAGTTCGGGACATATCTGCATGCGACCGCCAGGATGGTGGAAGGCGAACTAGATGGACCTTGGTCTTTTATCGTCTAGCATTTCTTATGTTCTTATGTAAGTTTCCCTGAAATTCATCTTTAAAGATCCAGCTGGTCTCTCACAAACACCTTTCCAGATTCCCACTTTCCTTTACACCTAGAATCAAATCACAGAAAGTCTGCAGTCGTGCCTGTGTTAGCTCTCTAGAAGAGCAGCCATTTAGTCCCATTCTCCTGACTTTCCCCCACTACTTTATACATTTTTCGTTTTCAAATATGTGTCCGATTCCCTGGTATAATTAAAACCCTTCTGCATTAAGATCTGTAAACAGAGCCCAACACTGCAATACTTACTTATCCATTTGGTTCGATTATGATTAGCTCAGACTACTTTTTTTCTAGGGCTTTCTGTAATGTTTCCAAGTTTCGATGGCAGGACTTGGAACAAAACATCTAATATTTACACTTTATGGTCTTTACTGTAATCAAACTAATTGTGTTGGAAAGCTAAAAGTTCAGAGATTAAACAGAAGCAACGTGAGTGGGGAATATACACTAAATAGAAATGCACTGCA